AAATTCTATATTACTTGAGGCGCCACAGAACATCTCTATTTATATAAAACCGTCAAATTAAAAGGGGGGGGGCAAATGCCCCACCCTGTCCTACCCAAATGACGTGCTTGCATAAAGATACTCATAAGCCAACATGTCACCATCTAAAGCGTTTAATGGTGTGCCTAGGTATCTTCAATCTATCACATACTCAGACATACACAAACATGATGTTGTTATGTCCGCTTCTACCGGAGGGGGGGGGGAAGGGGGGAGGCATCTCGGGGAGGTCACTTGGCGCATCCTGTTTTCTACTTTTTAGTGGTTTTTTTTAGCAGTTTGTATTCACTGCAGGATTCTGAAATGGGACGATTTGCTGCCAGACATATTGCAAGACGAAGATCGAGAAATCATTTAATACAAATGTGATGATATACATTTAGAGGTGCTTAAAAGAATTTTGAATACCGGTATTCAAGAAAGTGTTGTATAGTTAGTTTATATACATGTATATATAATTCGCTCATATACAGGGTGGGCCGTATACAGTCAGTGCATATGTGTAGCCGAACGTGCGGTTCAGTGTTGTAATCTTTGTTTCTTTGTAATCTTTGTTTCTTTGTAATCTTTCTTTCTTTTTAATCTTTGTTTCTTTGTAATCTTTGTTTCTATGTAATCTTTGTTTCTTTGTAATCTTTGTTTCTTTGTCATCTTTGTTTCTTTGTAATCAACGATGATTGTGCACCCGTTGTTATGGGCTAAAAAAAATATATGTTAAACATAAGTCATTAAATCCAGAACCATAAGTCCACTTGGGAGTTTTATGTGAAGTAAAAAATACAAGCAACCAACCAACAAACAAACAGGCAAACAACCAAACCACTTATAAACAACAAACCAACATACAAACAGGTCAACAACCAACCAACATATAAAAACAACCATACAACAAAAATACAAAAACCAACAAACAAACTTTGACGTTCACATAAGTATATATATTTATTTATTTTTTAATTTCAACATTTTTATGATCAACTGTCTATTGAAATGATCATTTTTATAAATTTAAACAATTCCTTTATCAATGTCGCCGTACTGGCGTCCGGGCGAAATCGTCATAGAACCGCCGGATTCCTGGGGCTGTCGCAATGGGGGGGGGGGGGGGGGCACGACAATCAGAATTTTCCTCACCTCAGGAGCTCCAACTAATGCTCTTCACCTCCCTCGACAAACAACACGCATTCAGTACGGCGGCATTGTTGCTGTAATGGTGAAGTTAACAACTATTCAATAACAGTTCATTCCTTTGCATAAAGCATGATAGGTCTGCCAACAATACGCCAAAGTTACGGACGTCCCGTACACAAAGGACATAAAATGACCGTAAGCTTAACTCATTACAACGTTTTAGGATATCTCTAACACGTGTAAGATGTCTTTAAAACTTTAGGGATGTCTGTAAAACTTAAAGGATGTCTGTAAAACTTAAAGGATGTCTGTAAAACTTTAAGGATGTCTGTAAAACTTTAAGGATGTCTGTAAAACTTTAAGGATGTCTGTAAAACTTTAAGGATGTCTGTAAAACTTTAAGGATGTCTGTAAAACTTTAAGGATGTCTGTAAAACTTTAATGACGTCTTTGAAGCGTGTATGGTGTCTTTAAAACGTTTAGGATGTCTGTACAACTTTAAGGGTGTCTTTAAAACTTTTAAGACATCTTTGAAATTTTTAGGATGCCTGTAAAAATTTTAGAATGTCTACAAAACTTTTAGAATGTCTCTAAAACTTTTGAGACATCTTTGAAATTTTAGGATGTCTTTAACACTTTTAAGATTACCAGATGCAGTGGCGTGATCCAAATCATTAAGCAACTGATGGGAGTGACAGCCGTACGAAGACGGGGACAAGAGGAGTGGTCCATCCCTTGCGGCACTTATTCCTGCCCACCTCAAATTCATTATAAAGCTGATTTTTTTAATGCGCATTCTGAATGCACTTTTAAGACATCTTTAAACCTGTTAGGATGTCTTTAAAACTGTTAGGATGTCTTTAAAACTGTTAGGATGTCTTTAAAACTGTTAGGATGTCTTTAAAACTGTTAGGATGTCTTTAAAACTGTTAGGATGTCTTTAAAACTTTTAGGATGTCTTTAAAACTGTTAGGATGTCTTTAAAACTGTTAGGATGTCTTTAAAACTGTTAGGATGTCTTTAAAACTGTTAGGATGTCTTTAAAACTGTTAGGATGTCCTTAAAACTGTTAGGATGTCTTTAAAACTGTTAGGATGTCTTTAAAACTTTTAATACATCCTTAAAACTATTAAGATATCTTTATTTTTTATGCGTATTCTGAATGCACAGTCCATCCGTTCCCGTGGCGAAACAGCCATGTTGGGCTTTGGCCCGCCTCACCACTTCCTTCCACTCAGCCCTTCCGTCCATCCCTGTGGCACTACAGCCCATTTACGGCTTTGCCCTGCCTCACCACTTCCTTCCACTCAGATCTGATACCTTTCTTTTTCATGCTTGGATTCTCAACTGCTGTGGATCTTTTTCCACACCATCCATCTATCTAGACCTAGGTCTGCCCTTGAGCCGATTTCCTCTGGGTTTTGTTGGTGCACCCTCTTCACTCCTCTGTTATTTTGGCATTCTTTCTAGGTGTTCCGCCCAGCGTAACCTGCCCTTTTTCTGCTCCTAGCATAGGGTCCTAATTTATACTAGACAATATAGACTAGACAATATAGACTATATAATAAAGACTAGACATTATAAACTATGCAATATAGACTTTACAATATAGACTATTCAAGAATAGACTAGACATTACAGGCTATACAACATAGACTAGACAATATGGGATGTACAAGAGACTATACAATATAGACTAGACAATTCTCATGTGTAGTGGTTCTCATTAATTAGGGGCGGTATAATCAAAGACTTCCTGGCGCCCAGTTGCGTAGCGAGGGGCTGTGGGGGTGTGAGCCGCATCTGATGGCACCATCTCACGGGGTGTCACCAAGTTGAACATTGCATATTTACAGAGCTTTTCATCATTTCATAAAATAAAAGGATTCAACGCCAAATAAACTGTTCGGTAACTTTCCTAAGTGATAAGAGGACAAGAAGCTATATTTATCTCCATTCTTAGACATAGACCTTTCTGTTGAAACCCAATACGATCATGTGATCGAGCGATTTTAAGTACATGAACCGTATCGGCTAAAATTAAAAACATAAGTAATTACTTTTTACCCATTTATAGGGTAGGCTTAACAAAATAATATTTGACAAAATTTTCTAATATCTTTTAATAACTTTTTTTTTTTTTTTTTTTTTTGTAGGGCCTTTGAAACAAAATATGTCGAAACCAAAATTAGTATTTAGCCGATTCGTCAATAGCGCCACCCCCCAAGATTGGAGGGCGATTGTTATGTTTGCAGCTTTGGTTTTTTTTATTATTTTTTTTTTTTTTTTTTTTTTTTTTTGTAGGGCCTTTGAAACAAAATATGTCGAAACCAAAATTAGTATTTAGCCGATTCGTCAATAGCGCCACCCCTCAAGATTGGAGTGCGATTGTTATGTTTGCAGCTTTGGAGACCAGGAGAGGAAAGTTTTAAATAAAGTATATTTATTGTAAAAGAAATAACTATAACTTAACGTTGTTACAGTTCTTAAATACATTAACCTCATGACCTTCAAATGACTTGTTTTTGTTCTTGTCATTGTTACACTGCGGGTTTATTTTAACAAGAAAGATCCACAGTGGAAGTCGGGGGGGGGGGGGGCGCTCATGGGTTTACCGCCCCGGGGGGCACCAGGGGTTTACCACACCGGGTGACACCATGAGTTTACCGCACCGGGTGACACCAGAGTTTACCGCACCGGGTGACACCAGAGTTTACCGCACCGGGTGACACCATGAGTTTACCGCACCGGGTGACACCATGAGTTTACCGCACAGGGTGACACCATGAGTTTACCGCACCGGGTGACACCAGAGTTTACCGTACGCACCGGGTGACACCCACCCTATCTATGCCCCTGCATCCTGGAACCCTTGTTTCACCACTGCATTTGGGAGTTAAACAATTTAATTGTAGAGTAGTAAAAATTGGGTTGTTTTGTTTTTTTTCGGCGTCCAGATTTACAGCTGATTTTGTTTTTAATGCATTTGGTGTTGGGTTAACTGTGAATTTTAAAAATTTCACTCAGTTTAACGTTAAAATTTCGATATAAGAAAGTAAAAGAGGGAGATGATTAATAATCATGAGGATAGAGATAATATTGCACACAAAAAAAATATTTGCTTTATGTAAAAGTCAAATTGAATTCAAAATTGATTGATTAACATTTTAAAAATTCGATTTTTCCCCCTTCCCCCATGTGCTACCCGGAGCGGTCTCACCTCCAACCCAGGGACGTCATTTGGGTAGTGCGGGGTAGGGCATTCGCCCCCCCCCCCTGAAATTTGCAGATTTTATTTATATTTCTATGTACTGTGGCGCCTCCAGTAATAAACAACTTAACAAGCCAACCACGTTTTGGTTTTTGCTCTCCCCCCCTGAAAACACCTAAAATGACGCCCCTGCTTTGACTCCCCTTCCCCACAGATAAGCCACCATCCAAGGTTGACGAGTCCCTTCACCAGGAAGCGCCGTGGTTCAATCGCTGTGATCTGACATCCACTGGCCAACTCGTTTCTATGTCTTGGTCTGATGCCCGATGGGCTTGGCGCCTCCGATTATTATTAACACGAAAATTCTATGCAGTTATGTCAATATTTTTTGCGGACATCAGAATCTGCTTTGAAACTTTCGAAAGCAAAGAAGTCTCTGAGGTTGACATTACGGATACATATCTTTTTGTTTTCTTTGATATAAAAGTCATTAACGGATACGGAAAAACTAAACGGGCATAGACCAAAACGAGAGATGAAGACAATTATTTAATCAGATTTACTGCGACCATTTCGATAGACCCACAACAAAGGTGTCTGTTCATTTTCTTTTTCCATTTTAATCACCCTAGCAACATCGTTTCGTTAAAACCTTCATCGCCGCGACATTTGATGATTGGCTTGCAACACTCCGGGTAAGCTTTCTGATCTTCTCTGTAATGGTAGCAGGACAGTGGGTCTAATGCTATGGCATAGACGCCACAGCTGAGGACAACAAGGGAAGTTTTGTTGTTAAAACTATTTATGTCAATCTTTCTCAACACTCCGGGTAAGCTTTCTGATCTTCTCTGTAATGGTAGCAGGACAGTGGGTCTAATGCTATGGCATAGACGCCACAGCTGAGGAAAACAAGGGAAGTTTTGTTGTTAAAACTACTTATGTCAATCTTTTTTTTTTTTTAACCTACGTACCCAAAATGGGCGGGGGTGGGTGGGAATAAGGAAAACAACACAAGTCGTAAACCTTTTTTTTATTTTCATACGGTAATCAACAGAGCGAGTGTCTGTCTTCTTTTGATGACAGACAGCAAGGGTGGATAGAATAAAAAGTAGATTGTCAGAAATTGGTCGTTTGGTAACAGCACGGATGAATGGAATGAAGAGATGATTGTCAGGCATTGGACTCAGTGATTTAGTGACCAAAAATGTAAAACAAAAATAATTGTCTCCCTTTCCGTCGTGTTAAGAAACAATGGGTTGACTGCAGTCGAACTTCTCGTGAAGGATGTGGGGCAGCGGTGGTATACTGTGCTTAATGTTTCCTGGGGCGATCTCCCAAAAGTGCGCATACAACACACACACATGGATATTTCTTTTAATAAGACTATATAGTAACCAAAAAATGCCCCCCCCCGAGTGACGTCACCCCCACCCCCATTTCACGTTCCCCTAAGTACGCCTCTGGAGGAGTCAAAGCTTCCACCACCTTAGGACCTCCGTAGGTCTTAATTCGATACTAAATAAATATGTCTTTCCAGTAGGAGTAAGTAAGAAATGGCTTACAAATTGAACCTATTCAATTGGTTGTGTTGTATTTAAAACCCCCAGCAAAAGCGTGCTTCAGTTTGAACATTTTTTGTTTTTTTTTACTTTATCGACCTGTAAGACAAGGCAACTAGTGTGTAAGACAAGGCAACTATTGTGTAAGACAAGGCAACTATTGTGTAAGACAAGGCAACTAGTGTGTAAGACATTTAGATACAATGTAAGCTATTAACATCTAGATACAAATTTCAGATGTGAACATCGAGGCACGGTTGACGCTTACTTCAAACCCATTATTCTCACACTGTGCAGTCACAATTAAAATTGTCAGCAATATATCAACTGTTTACACCTAGCCAATACTTACCTGTAGCAGGCGTACCAATTTTCCATACAGTCGCAGCGTTCACATTGTCCTTCTTCGCTCCAGGCGTCTCCTGGCTTGTGACCATTTGGACATTCGCCTGGAACAGAAATCTGACATTGTAGCCAACCAACCGAATCGAAAGATTAATATGACTGACAGTTTTTAGATAACAAACTTTTTCTTGCAACAGGGTACTTTAGCAATAACATTTTTGTTTAGTTCACTCATGTCATGTGTCCAGGTCTTATGAGTTAGTTTTACATGTGTCCAGGGCTTAAGTGTTAGTTCGACCAATGTGTTAGTTTTCTACTTTCCGCGAAAGCGGGGCGTCTCCGAGGATACTTGGGGGGCGTCCACATGGGGTTTTGCCTCTTCGTGGCGTGGCAGACTAGTAGGAAGGTTTGTCCTCCCGAAGCTAAAAAAAACCCGGTTACTTGCATGACTCACAACGCAACGGGAGTATCGCAACAACATGATTACTTGTTGCCGTTAAAGGATATGAGGTCTGGGTGGCGGCCAAAACTCCTACCGATGATTTTAGCTACGCGGCCTTGAGAAAGCTGCTCATAGGCGACCGTTTCATCCCAACTTTTGTCCCGATCGGACGACTCCCTGGACGGTTGGGGAGGGAGGGGAGGGGTAACGCAACACCTTTCCCCTGGAGTGGAAGCAAAGCCGAACTGACCCACGGAGAGTGGACCGCGAACGCTTTAAACGCAGCGTTTTCAGTCGATCTGCAGTCCCCCCAGGACAGGGGGGAGGTTCCCGACGTGCTTCCGCACGGTCTGACGGTGGGGAGACCCATGTGGAGGTGTGCCGGGGGAGGGGTATTGAGAATCGCGCTCGACGACCCACCGACGCCATCTCCAAATGTGACGTTAGTTTTACTAATATGTCCAGGTCTTATGTGTTAGTTTTACACATGTGCCCAGCGCTTTTTTTATGGACCGACAGAATGTTTGTATCAAATGAATAAAGAACTAATTATTAATAACAAAGTCTGACACTGAAAAAGGTCGGTATATACAATAACAAAAAGGGGAAATGAAACATCAAGAGGATAAAGTACAATAATAAGGGGAGAAAATACAATAACGAAGGGAGGAAATAAAATAAAAGGGGAGTGCATGCATTAACAAGGGGGGTGCATACAATAATAAGGGGAATAAAAACAATGACAAGTGGAGTACAATCAAAGACAAATGTTGTACAAAGAATGGTAAGTGGAACACAAACTATGACAAGTGGAATGCAGACAATGGCAACTGGAATATAAACAATGACAAGGTGGAACACAAACTATGACAAGTGGGATACAGACAACGGCAACTGGAATATAAACAATGACAAGTGGTGTTATACACTTTTGGTTCAGCTGCGAGGGAAATGGAGACTTGAGATTTCAAGTTGGACTTTTAACCAGGACTAAGAATGTATTCAAAATACATTATGATTTGACTCACGTCAATGGTTGTTCATGCATAGCAAACTAATACATCACTCCCTTTTATCTTTAAATTTAAATTAAATAGAAAAGCGGGAAAGACTTTTTCCAGAAATGTATCTTTTTTTTCTATTTCTCCAAAAATATATATAAATTTTTTTACCTATAGTCATAAATGCTGCACCGTCTGTTGAATAGCCAAAGAACGCAAAGGCGACAAGTAATTTCACAACTAGTGTGTTCATCTTTGAGATCTTGTTACGTTGAACCTACGAACAAAAATGATCATACTTATAAATACATGTTCTAGTTGTTTTGTTATTTACGATTATCATGCCAGCATGTAACATTATAATGGTTTTATATGTTATGCTATGTTAGCCTGCATTCAGACGGAGTCGTGGGAGCCCCGGGGGGAACTAGCCCTAGCTACGCCACTGTAATGTCTTAACGCAATGAACCCTACCTACTATTTCAAAAAACAAAATGGTATGTTAGGAAAATTGTAAAAAAAAAAAAAAAAAAAACAAAAAAAAAAACACAACAAATCCTCATATCTAAATAAATTTACCCCTTTGCCATATTTTGACACGAATCAAAACATTATTTTTGCAAAATGGTAAAACAAACATTTATTTGTTTTGTAAGTATTAATCTCATTTGAAATGCCACATTTTCCAATTTAAAACATCTTCCGCCTTTTTTTTTATTATATATATTTCCTACTTTAAATTTAAACGAAAAATCTAAATCCAAATTTTTTAAGACTGTAACTTAGGACCATTTTTGTTTTACTTGCAGACGTCAATCACGAACAATGCCAGGAACTTCAGAAAGTTAAACAAAACATTTCTTTTTTTTAAGTTCAACTAAGAAGACTTTGGGTCGTATGTCAAAAGCAATTTCTATTTACTTGGAGGGTTCATGATTTTGCTGTCATGAACCCCAAATCTTCTGTTTAAAAAAAAAGGTGAAAAAGAAAGTTGGGAGGGGGGGGGGGGAGACTGAAAGATAAATTTCACATCTTTACTCATTTTTACAATTAGGATAATCATATAGGACTTTTATTGAAACACTAATTTGACAAGTTTTCAAATTTAGAAGTTATTTCAAAAAGTTTTAACGGTACTTACGAATAATTTTTGAAACTCGCAGAAGAGATGTGCTGAGGAGTGTGTGCTTGTGGTTGTGGAGCATTAATATCGTCACGTGACTTAACTTTAAAGTCTCTTAAGTAAATGCACTTCCAAGGTATTATTTATTTCTTTTTTTATTTTAACGAATGGAATATTTAATTAAACTTTTTTGGTCTTTTCACGCATAAAAATGCGATGCTGGGAGAAATGATACTTCAAGATTGTCAGAATGAGCGACAGGTGTTAGATTCTCTTGATAAGGGTCGGTTTTAATCATTTCAGATCACGTGTAAACACAATTTTAATATACTGACAGGTCATTGCCAGATAAGGAAGGATTCACAAAGTTATTTTAAATAACATGCAATTCAAGGGTTCATTTCACTTTGCGCACTAGCCCCCTTAAGAGGCTCTTGCCATTTGATGCGGCACTTATCACTTGATGCGGCACTTGCTACTGATGCAGCAATTTCCACTTCATGCGACAATTACCACTTCATGCGGTACTTAAAATGTAAGAATCTCTTGAGTTGTGCAATATTCTCCTCTGAATAACAGATTATAATGACGTAATAAAAGGTGGCACTTCGGATAAGTCTATGCCACCAAGGTGTTGGTCGACAGAACTTTTTTGAGAACCAGTGCTTTCAATGTCAGATGAGTTGACCAAAATCCTTATGTATTTAAATATATGATGATTCCGAATTGAATTTCTTTATCCTCAATATTTGTTTTATTGCAACATGCCATTCTTTGCTTAACATCGGTAAATAATGTATGACTTTTTTTAAAAACCATATTTTATTAAAATCTTGAACCTGATACATTTTGCAGAACAAATCTCAAATTGAAACATCAAAACAAAACAATGTGTTTGCTTGTTAACTTCATTAGCACTCGGGTTAGATACAGCTTCATAAAGAGTGACACGTTTAAACAACAGCGTTTAAATATATAACAAGTTATAAACTAAGCAGACTCTAATTTTTTTAAGAGCATCTGTTTTTATTTTACAAGATTAATGAGACAAATGGGTCAAAATACACACAAAAAATGTTGACCAAGTGGCATCATAGTGGTGTCATAGATAAGATAAGATAAGATTCTTTTATGGATCCAAATAAATGGAAATGTTTTGTGATTGCATTATACATTTTCAGCTCAAAAATAAAACAATTTGAACACAAGATATTTATAATAAATTATTTCAAACAGCCATTTAGTGAGTTCTCTTAGCAAAATCGGGGACTTATTAGTTCTCATTCAGATGTGTGACTTCAGAGGAAGCATGCCGGTAAATTCGTACAGATTGGGGAACAAAATAATTTTTATATCTGTCAGTCCTCGCCCAGATGGAAAGAATTCGTCCCGAACGGCCCGATCCTCAGTATCTGTGATGAAAAGGATGGGATGTATCATCCAAAATGTGTTTAGTTTTGCAAAAACATCTTTCTTCAAATAGTTCTTCAATTAAAGGATATTTAGTTTGTGTTGTGTTCCTAGCTTTCTTGATTAGTCGGTTTATGCGGTGTTAAATATCAGACGTTGAACTCCCACACCAGCAGGTAATATTGAAATTAAGCATCATAGTGGCATTATAGTGGTATTCTGTGTAATCATTATTAAAGCTTAACTTGTATTGTTTGATTTACAGAAATTGTGTTTGTTTTTTGTTTTTGTTGGTCTCATTAATATTATTATCGCAGTCCAACACTCTTAATATATGGTTTATATATTATTTTACCGATTTCATAGGAATGGAGATCAACACAAGTGGGGGTAAAAAATTAAAATTAATTAATGAGAGACACGGACATAAGTCAAGGGAGCGAAGCTATCATAAAGTGATCAAAAAGCAAAAATCATGTACTGTGCAGTTATAAAAAAAAGAAATTCTATTATAATAAACTAGAATAAATGACCCGATGTTATCGGAATAATAATGGTTGGTCCTTTGGGATAATTTCTAACTGCTATTGCAAAAACTCATCCCAATTCATAATTTTTAATGATATTTCGTTTCTAACATCATTAAGTTTTGAGAAGTGTTTCTCTGCTATATATGACACGCGTACTCAACTCCCGTTCACGCTCCTAAACTACTTTTCCCCTCTAAACATGATCTTAAATTACCTAAATTATCACTAATTACATCACTTTTGTCACTAAAAAAGTTAATTGAGGGACAATTACTACGCAAGAGAAATACTTTAGATTTACCCCTTTTCATGCCTTTGAATTACAACTTTATTTTTCTCAAAATTAAAAAAAAAAATAATCTTAAATTTACAAAAAAATATATATATATATTTTGTATTACAGGAATTCGATATATATTGTTATCTTCATCAAAAATTTTAACACATTTTTGTCTTTTAAAAAAAAATTATACATGATCAGAAAATCGTAAAACAATGAATGCTTTTATCCAAGAAGAATCTCGCAACTGTTTTTCACGCCTAAATCAGATTTGACTGTCTTTAAAAAAAAAATTAAATTGTTAAGCTCATAAAATTACAAACCTCTTTACTTTTTGTAAAGTAACAACAAAAATTTATTTTCATTTTTTTAAAAAGAAACTATTAACCCATCTTCATTTGCCGAAATTTAATTTTCAAGTGTGTAAAATAATTGGGTTTTGATATTCATGGAATATACTTATATTAATGTACCCAAGATTTGTTAACGCCATTGATTTTCTTAATTTGTAAACATATTTTTATTTGTAAAAAGATAATTTAACATCTCTTTTTTCCACAAATTTAATACCATATGATTTAAATATATTGTCATCCATGAAAAATGTAGGCCTACACATCCTTTTTCTCATCTCTGATATGTAGGCTATGTACTCAAGAAGGTTAATTATTAATCAAATTATTTCCTTTATTTTGAGACGTACCTTGGGCAAAATGAACATACCAATATGTGTAAAAAGAGAATTTTTTCACAAATGTAATACGATAGGAGTTAACTCTGTTTTCATCCACGTAAGAATTTACACATCTTATTTCCTACCTCCGACATGTAGGCCTATGTACCCAAGAAAATTAATCATTTATCGAATTCATTCCTTTATTTTGAGACTTATTTTATTCTGCCTTGAACAAAATGAACATACACATATTTGTAAAAAGAGAATGCAACATCTCTTTTTTTTTACAAATGTAATACCATAGGATTTAAATATATTGCCATTCACGTAAAATGTACACATCCTATTTCCTACCTCCGATATGAATGTACCCAATAAGGTTAATTATTGATCCAATTCATTCCTTTATTTTGAGACGTATCTTGAGCTGCCTGGGGAAAAGTAACCAACGCCTCCCCCACCCAGATTTAAATAAATTTAGAAAATCTTCCACCGGATTGTAGTCCCTTCCATACCCAAACTAACATATTTTGCACTTCATAGGGCTCGTTCTTATTTGTATGAGGTATAAGTATAAGTGGATTAGTGAATGCTATTTAGCTATGGAGTTGCGCTGCACTGATTGACTTCAATCGCATTTTCTTATTACAATTACATTTAAAGGTTAGTTTTTATTACGTTATAAATTTAATAAAAGTATATTTTTGGAATAAAAAAAGGACAAACTTTTTAAATTTAAAAATGTACAAAGCAAAAATGTGTGTGTGCTTTATTAACAATTTAAAAAAGCAATCAATTGTATTTATTCATTTTATTTTTAAGAAGGGAAATTACATTATCAGTTTTGTCGCTTGTGGTTATTAAATTTAAAGAAACCTAAGAGTTTTGGCGAAATAGACTATTTATTCGCGCTATGACGTCATTTGCGTGATTATTTAGAATAAATTAATTTTAGTTTTATTTCGCAATATTAACAACGCACTAAAAGACGCACTAAAAACGACTGATCTTAGGGTTTTCCCGATAAATGTGATTACGGTGTAATTCTTTGATCATGATTTTTTTTTTCATAACTTCCAAACACATTTAAAATGCTTTAAATAGTTCCTTAGTTGATACAATAAATGTATTTGTAATTTATAATAATTTAACTTAAACTCTTAATAAAATAAAGCGGATTTAAAATAATTTTTGCGCATGTAAATTCATTCCATTTCCGTAAAATAAATAGAAAATAACTATGAGTGTTTTTAGGAATCCGAACGTATTTAAAAAGTATCTCCCCTTTGCGTTATGTCACTTTAGTTCATTCTTATATATATTATTATCTTAGTCAGAATATAATTTTTTTAGCATCATAGGTTTGTGTGTATGAGTATGGAACTATGGCGACATCAATTGTTTGGGTGCATGTAGCCATGCCATCACTTATTTGGGTTACATTAATTGTTTGGGTGTATGAGTATGTTAACCATGGTGGTATCACTTACTTGTTTGAGTGCATGTAACCATAGTGGAATTAATTGGGTGTATGTTAATGTTACAGTGTTGGCATGACTATTTTTTTAACCTCAATACTTACTTTTATTACCACATGCCATAATTTTCGTCAGAGAATTATTTTTACTGAACCCGCATTTTAGATTTCCCATGTTAAGGAATGTATTACATTGTACCACATAACAATTCTTTGTGTATTAGCAAAATATCACATTTTTTACATAACAGTAACAGTCACTACTGTAAAAATGACACTAACTTGAAAACCACAGTGAGATCAAATATAAATTTTTGCCTGTGTATATAAAAAAAGTGAATAATGCAAACCCAAACTGAAAATTGAAAGCACTGCAAACATTGGAGCATGGTATTAGATAAAATACTCTATAATAAAACTATATAAAGTGTATAAAGATATAATGGCATGGTGAAAAAAAAAAATAAAAAATTAATTGTTAACTTAATTCTTAAGTGAGGTAAAATATTGACATGGATAGATACAAAAAAATGTAGGCTATAATTTATAAATGACCACATCTAATATCGGAAAACAACACCAGAAATTAACAGAATTGATCATCAGGGTGCTCCTTGCTGTCAGAACTCCTTTGTCAGGTCAGTCAGACCTGGCTACACTTTGTTATCTTCTTACAGCCTGAAACGTAATGACCAGGGACCGGGATGAAGCTCAAATCTTGCAAACTTTCAAGCCAGGCCCGAGTTGTGCACATTGCACCGGGGACTGAGTCCCTATTTATTGGAGGATTTCAATCCTCAAAAACAACAAATATCAGCATTAGTGGACCAGCAATTGGGAGTTTGCTGACCAATCCACCCCAGGAATTTTGAGTTTACATTCTTTGAAATCTTAAATGAAGGCTGCATCTAATATTGTAAATATTTCTCTACATCCATGAAGCAGATCATTTACCAGCCTCCTGTTTTTTTGGCCCAATATTGCTCACTGGTATGGTTGGGTGACTCAAAAATGTATGACTAATTTGAACCGTACAAGAGTCATCAAATGTGAACTTACCCAATACTCACAATAACTTATACAGTCAGAGATAAGATTTAACAGTAATCCTACATATTGTTATACAGCAAGTATCAACTCTAACTTTTTGAAGCCAGAAATGTTCTTCTTACAATGTAAATCTCCAAGTTATTTGTGAAAATTTGTTAAATTAGTGAATTGTAAATCTACATTTATTGATTAACATCCATCATTCTTGATGGGTTAAAGATAATGTTCACACTTACAATAATGAAATGTCAATTTAAAAAATAAACGAAAAAGGGGGTTCTATTATGTAATTCTCAAAAGAAAAGTTAGAAAGTTGTAGTCATGTGATGCACAAGTTTCAAAGCTGCTGTGACACCATGAAAAAATATAAAAATCATAAATAAAGGTATGACTTTAAAGTTTTTCAGTATTATTGGACACAAAATCAGTGCAAATGTTGCAAACAGAAAATATCACGGTCATTCAAATATTTGAGTAATCCAAGTTGAATCCGAGTTCTCCATGAATCCAAAAAATAAAGAAGGCAATAAAAGCAAAATCAAATGTCTGAGTATTTATGACAACCAGTTAATACAAATCACATTACAGCTGATGTCATGGCAAGATATTTAGAGTTATTGAATAGATTTCATACATCGTGAAATAAAATACAGACAACACGTCACAAATTCTAGCTAGTGAGAGAATAAAATTGCTGCCTATGAGACCAACACTCAACGGCGGGGGTGCACTTTTGGTCATCGATAAAACCTTTATTATCCAGGACCCTTTAGCAGCAGCTATGTGCCCTAGACCCTAGCTCCTAACATGTGCCCTAAACCCTAGCTCCTAACATATGCCCTAAACCCTAGCTCCTAACATGTGCCCCAAACTGTAGCTCTATGTATCCTAATGCACAGCGCCTAACATCTACCCTTAACCCTAGCTCTTAACATCTTTGCCCACACTTCTCGCCACATTATCCATGTGACAAGGCTAAGTTAAACAGATGTGTACCCCAGGCGGTTTCCTAGGTCCTAGAAGAAACAAGGACCTATTCCACCTCAGCCGCAGGCTGCCATTAGACAGACTGCTTCCGGAGCAGAGCAACCCAAACCTTTGCATCAGCTATATTAAAGCATAATATTTTTCTATTTTTTTGAAGCACCATGATTAATTCATGTATTTTTCACTTGTCTAGACACATTTTAAATTTCAATCAAACTATACATTTTCACATATAATCTCCAAATATTTCATGATTTTCGAAAGTTTGTTTTAAAAATAAGTGACTTGATGATGAAGAAATAATTTAAAGATGCAATAAATCAATTTTCATTGCAAAATATTGCATTATCACTAACAGCACACTATCATGTCTAATATGCGGTGAACCATACAAAAGCATTTTTGTAACTATAATTAGACCTGAATCTGACAAGGTACAAGATATGTAAATAATCCCATGAAAATATTACCATAAGTATTAAAGTAACTTTACTCTGTAATTCACATTTATACAAACACCTGCAAAGTGAGAAATGTTCGGCTGGACTGTAAATTGAATTTATTTCTTTGAAAATACAAATCTAAAATCTATCACCATCCTTTCATTTAATCAAAGTAATAGACTGAAGTCCAAAGTCTTTCAACAAATGTTTAAATCAGCCAACTTTTGTAATTTGGTTTGGTTTTTTTTTGTTTAGAGAAAACTTTATCAAACTATTGGCTCAATGTTTTCCTCACTCTGTCAACCAAAACTCTGATGTTCTGTTTATAAAGTCTATCATTGCTCAAATCAATATAACCGTATCGCAACAAGATCCGCCCCACGAAGGTTTTCATGCTCTCTAGTGGAACGTATCTTAAGAGTAAAGGAATAATTGGCTTTTGAAAGGCATCAGCCAAACTGAGGTCTTTAGCACAGTTGTCACTCTGTAGATATTTGGGGGTAATGAAACACACAACAGCATGACAGGCCTTCATCGTGCGGTGGATCTGGCTTTGTAGGGTCTCACCGGAAGGGCCTCCATATGGAATGGAGACTGAAGACCGGACACTGGAACTACTGTGCCTGCGCGAGTCAGTGGCCATGCTAATGTCTGCCCAGCAAATGAAGCCTGCTCTCTCGAGGATCTGCTGGATCTCGTCCACTTTTGTCTGCATGTCCCATTGGTAGGAGATGAAAACTTGGGCACAACCTTCAGGATATTGTGTGGATGTTTTGCCCCGAGTGAGGATAAATTGCCCCGAGGGTGGATGAGTTGCCCCGAGTGTGGATGAGTTGCCTTGATCTGAGGAAAAATTATTCATATAGCATATTTTTATAAAAGTTTCATAATTCAATTTAAACAATTCAAGAAAATTTAATTTATATTAACAAATATCGTGCAAATAACTATGCAATCACAAACAAAAAATAAAAATTGCTTGGAAATTACTTCAAAGAAAATTTAAGTTATTAAGGATTTATCTTTAAAATTTTAATAATTTACAATAGATCTTTTTTAGAGAAAATGTTCATTTTAGAATTAAAATTCAATCAAAAGTGTAAATACAAAATAATTGAAGATGTTTAAATACAGATTGAATAAAACCAACTTTAACTGTGATTTTTTTGTTTTTAAAATTAACTCATAAAAGTAGAAAACTTTTATTTAAATAAAATGAATGCAATCACATAAAATTTAAAATTTAACCAAAGAATTTAAAATATTACCAAACCAGTTGAGAAGTTTTAATCAACCAACATTATTATGAACATATTTAATTTGTTATTTGAGCATGTAAAAAGTAGTTTATTACTCCACTGATGAATTTTTTATTTTTATTTTTTAATTTTTAAAAATGTAATCATAACCTGCAAAGTTTAGCCCAATATATATATTGTAATTTCAAGCAGTTGATATACTACTTAAGCCGCTAATGTAAATAAAGATGTTACTAAATAATAAAAAGAACTGATAAAAAAGTAGGTCCCAACTATTCACTGGGGTTTGTATGTTTATCCAATTCTTTGATATAGGCAACGTGTTACCACAAATAGCAAACCATTATTTTACTTGGCATGAAGGACTGAACTTAAATGATTTTAAGTAAAAAAAAGAATGCATCTACTTCAAGCCAGGTGCCATTCATAAATGACTTCATGCATATAAGGAGGGTTATGAATATTTGACGATGTATGATGAAGATGTCTAAATTTTGTGCCAAATTTGGGATAATGTTGAGTGGGAGTGTCAAAGGCCAAAGTAGCATGACATCATTAAGGATGGCACTTAATATAAATTAATGTTAACCATGTCAGGAATGCCTTTCTCATGAATAATGTCCCCTTAATGTCCTCACAAGGTGGCCCCTCAGACTAAATATTTGTCCTGTATTTCATTCACGTTTACAAGATAAAATAAAATTAATTTATGAAAAAATTTATTTATTAATATATATATGAAAGTTTTAAAAGCAAGAAATCATGAGAGTATTATTTCTGAATAGTAGTTCTAAAAAATAATTGGAAAGCAATGAAATTTGACATACGAAATTTTTTAACAAACTAAAAATTGAACGCTATAAATTTAAAAATTTATAATAAAATAAATTTAAAATATAATAAAAATATTGATTCAAAGGGGAGGATTAAATCTATAAAATGTACATGGTAATTTTAATAACATGAGATGTGCTCCTTCTTAAATAAATTTAATGTGTATTTTCCAGATGCTGAATAAATCATGTTCATATACATTAGATGCTTAATCAACAACAACAAAATATTTCCTATTGTGAACCTTTCTAGACTTAAATACTTTATCTAATGAACCGTTTTTAATTTATAAAAATAAACAATATGTATTCATATCATGACAATGGAAACATAATAATATGTATTACATCTTTTCATCTTTTCCCTTAAAAAATAAGGGATAAACATAATTTTTTATATAGGAACACATTTTCTCACGTCAAACCTTTTATCAATAAAGTCTTTTATTTAACATGAAATTTGTTTTTAATTAGATAATTTAAATATCTGACTTTAGAAAGAAAAACTGTGTTGGTGTGCTCAGTTTGACTTGCTTCCCCCTCAAAAAAAAACTTCAACCTATTTAACACATTATGCATGCTGCTTCTGTTTAGACAAACAAACTGTCAAATTTATACCATGGTCTTTAATGGCAACCATTTTTTAATTCTTGAATCACTCTGAATATTAACTCATATTTTTCTGACTCGGTGAATCAAGCATCCATTAAAATTTGATCGATTAAAATATCTTACCACACTATTTTATGTATCACGATTGGTATCCAATCAATAACATGAGATAGTTGTTAAAAATATTATCAAAAACATAGGAATGATTATCCATAACATGAAAATTTAATAGTCAACTTTTTGAAGTTTTTTCTCCAGGCACAAGGCTACTCTTCCACACCCTTAAAATTTGCCATATCTCTCTTTTCCTTTTAGCTATTATATTGCAACAAACAGATTTCATGTTGTTACTTAAAAGGTTTGAAAAGGGGATTTAATATTAAATAAGTGAGGTAGATATAAAAAGTAAAAAAATAAATTAATAAATTTAAGACCCCAAAAAAAAATCTTTTACCAAATTTTCCTTGAGAATGGCTGTAGATTTTTAAAATCAAATTTCAAATAAAATAATATTTGTGTTTTTCAGAAGGAAAAAAAACACTCAAATGATATTTTGATCACAAGGCAGGAGGAGTTATAAAATCCAACTAGGACCATAGAAAAAACTGATAATCTGATGAGTTACTGAATCTACCTTAAATAGAAACGCATCACAAAAAAAGAGGCTAATTTATAGTTAGATAAGTTGCCAAATTGAATTACTTTCAAAAATCAAATTCTAGATCAGAAAATTAATTTTAAGTTACAAGTAATAAATCTCCAAGAGATTATCCAAGTTAAATTTTTAAAACGTAAAATACTAATGTTATTCATTTTTTTGTTTATTTAATAGAGCAATGAAAAATATGACAAATCACAGCAAAGTTTTATTGGTCTCTTTAATTATGAGTTGTTTTTTTTTAATTTAATATATCATAAAATTATTATCATATGAAAATATGAACATACTTTTAGAATTGACTAACAAATTCAAAGGTTTACTTCCTTCTGACATCTTAGTCAGGTATGTCTGCTCCAAAACCACACCTGGTACTCGTCTCAGTGGTTTAATTTGGTGCTCTAGAATTTCCAGACTTTCAGAGTACATTCTGCTTTCAAAGTCTACAGCAGGGTAATCACCTAGTAGGATTTTTTTTTAAACAATTTTATTATTATCACGATCATTTTAAAATAGTATTAGAGCTTAAATCAGAAAAATTCAGTTAAAATGTATTAATAATTGCCCTGAAATATTTCAGACATTGAAGAGTAAAATGTGACAAGACATGACATATTAATGTCATTAAATAATTTAAAAGTTGTTGTCACATAAAGTTTTTTATACAGTTTCTATTAATCAAGCTATTATGAGCTTTTCATACAATGTTTATTTTCTTTTAAAGACTACATTTATAATAAATTTTAATCAAACCAACTCCTAAGCATTATTGAGATCATTGAGGCATTGCAAGAAAATTTATTATCATTTTAAAATTAACCAGCTAATTTGATCAGGTTGAAATTTTCTTAACAAAACTTATTAAAGGTAAATTTAACTTCAAAAATAGCTTTTAGATATGGACTCTGCTGCATCAATTAGAAAAAACCTCAACGAAAGCTAAATCAGTTTTGGTTTTTTTTTCTTCCAGAAGATTTAAACTAAATTACCAAGTATGGCTTTCATAGAAGCTCTGAGACCGCACCAGACATTATTAAACAGAGCTGTAACTATCTTCTTCCCTAACCAGTCAGCGAAAAGAACTTCTTGAAAAACAAATGGTGAAATAGATGCCTCTTGTGTCATGAATACAACAACATGTGATGATGTAGCTATTAGAGGTCCATTGACTTCAAGGAATTCTTCTTTGGAATGACCCAACCTGGTTGTGTTATGGTGGCTCACCTATAAAATAAATCTTCACAGAATTAAGAATGTTAAATTTGTATCTTTTTATGCATGATGCTGTTATGAATCAATACTTTGATTCATCACAGCATCATGCATAAAACTGACAACAAGAGTTATACAAAGAATAATAACTTACAAAGCAATGCAAAAGAAAAAAGTGTCATTAAAGCATCTTGTGAAGAAGAGAGACAACTTAGATTTCATACAAAAATTTTGCAACTTTTGCTAATATTTAATGGGAAGAAACACTGGGGTTTAAAAAAAAAGGGTTTACCATAAATGTGTTAAATAATGAAATAATATCCTAAAATTTTGGTAGGCCTATATAATTATATTATAATCATAAGTACAATAAAATAAAGTCTACCTACATCATAACAAAAGAATTGCTTAAATGAGTGTTGTGTTTCTTGATTTGATGTGATAAATACTATGATTGAATAATTTGGCTTCAAAATGTTAACATGTATCAAATTAACTGTAATAGAATATATTATTTATGACAATATATAATCAAAATTAGACATACCTGTAATGACTTTGCTTTAAGGTCTGATTTTAAATTTTGAGCCAATCGGACATCAGCAGGATCATAGATTAGGTAAACAGTGTCAGGTTTAGGCCTGTGGGCACGCAGTCTCAGGTGCCAATTATCAACACGCTTGTGTTCTATGTCTAATGTATGAAGAACTTGTTGCATGATTTTCTTGCGTACCACCCTACTTTCAATACCAAGAAATGTATTCATGTCATGATCTGTAATTGACATCAAAAGAAATCCATCCACTCCTGCCTCAGCCAGGCTTTGTCTATAAAATTCTTTAATGCCTAAACTAAACAGCCATTCTTGCAGATCGCTAACATTCCAGAGACAGATTTTTTTTTTCTTGAATTCGCCTGTGAATTCTAAGTCAAATGGAGTTACAGAATGAGGTGAACAATGTAATGTTGCAAGTTTTTCCAAGTCTTCCATTAAGCATCCAATCACAACAGATGTTTTCTCTGCTATACTCTTTGTAGCATGTTCACCAGTTAGATCAATGGCGACATTCATTATCTCAACAAATTCTTTGGGTACATTCATTGCATCTGGTTGGCTAAATAAAACTGGAAATATTTGAACTGAACTAGGATTGTAGCTAATTCTTTCTAACAATGCTTTACCACCATACAAAGAAACAGGACAGGTGAAGTAGCTGTCTGATAGAAATAGTATTGCTGCCTTACATTTTTCAAGTGATTCCATGCAAAGAGAAAACCAACAGGGACTATCAACAATTTTTTCATCTTTATCAAACCAAATATCCTCTGATAAATTATTTTCCTTCAGTTGTCTAACAGTTTCGACAATAAACTTTTTCTCACAGTACCCAGCATCTGAAGAGTATGAAATAAAAATGCTTTTTTTACTTTTTTTCAATGTCTTCATACCTGAAACAGAAGTTTGTTTCAAAGTGGATTTATCTTTAGTCACAATTTTGTTTCTGTGCTTTGGTTCATTAATACTGGCACTTTTAAAGTCAACTGTCTCACATAAAATTGAAATCGGTTTATCCCTTGAGACATCATTCAGATAAGAGTCTTTTGATGTTAACAGTAATTCTGTTTCATTTGGCTTTGGAGCTGTTGTATTCTCTCTGATATTATTATTAGTGTTTGCACTAGGAAGTGATTCTTTTTCTGCATGTCTTTCAAACTTGCTATACTGGTTGTCACTATTGTCATTCCCACTGATTGGTTGATCCATTCTGTTTTCTTATTCATGTGCATGACCATCTTTAATTATCTTGGAAATTAATGCAATTTATGTGGCCATGATTCGTCCATTTGATCAGCCTTATTTGTTGTTTGTTATACTTTGCTGTAATGACTTTTTCTAAATTATTATTCATCCAAGTTTCAATGTCCACATTAAGCCCCTGCCCCAAACTCTGCAGGCTTAAACTTATTTTCAAGTAGCAACACATATAATGATCATGATTTCATTGAATCATTTAAAATAAAATATTCTATAATATCCAAGCCCTAAAAAATGACATGACCATAAAACTGATTATCAATTATCAAGAAGATGAATGATTCAGTTTTTAGAATTAATTACAAAGCTAAAACTAAAGTATAAAGACTAAAAAAGGAGTGGAGATGCAGGGGGAGGGAGAATTCACACACAAAAATATCATAAAACTTTCCCCTTTAAGTTTAAGTGATAGAAAGTTATTGAAAGCAATCTCTTTCCATTGACAATTTAATTGTATGCTTTTCCACAATGCCATGTCATTTAACTTATTTGTCTTTGATTTTGTATGAATGCAAACTGTCAGATAATGATGTATTGTATTTGAATTTGAAAATCTTGAGTTGGAGTCGTAAATTTATCATATACATAATAAAATTAACATAGTATATGATATTATTATTATAGTAGACTATATAGGCTATAGACTATAGATAGACTATAAACTATAAGGTCAAGGTAGCAGTATAGTCATAATAATAAAAATAAAATTTAAAATATTATGATAATTATGCCAGCTTCCCTAGTGTCCGTTACTATTCTTATTCTATTTTTATGTCACACTCAGACAAAAGTCTCTAGTCAGTCTAGTTAACATTTTTTACACTTGTTATCACTATCATATCAGTCAGTGCAGACAATCTTAATCTTAATAGTCATAGTAAATGTACAGTGAGTAACAGTGTGATGTCACTCGAGTGTCCCTAGTTACCGCGATGAATTTCATTCAATAGTGTCATTAACCTATTTGTTGATTATTTGAATTCTTAAAATCAACGCTGGGATATTCTTAAATAATGTTTGAATGTAGAATTTGAAAGAAAATGTTAAAATATTTATTATTTTTTTAAATAATAAGCGAGGATACCACGAACCAAGCTATTTGTTTACAGCTGTTATAATTACCTCCCACCTTATTGTTCACTCTGCACAGATAGCAGTACGGCTATGCAATAGTGTGATTGGATCTCGATTGACTAAATATAGGCCTAGAATCAATTACATGTCACCTCTTGTTTCAACTTGAAATAGCTAGGCAGGCCAACTGAATTTCAAAGAAGCATCCTCATTATGCCTCATACTCATAATAATTATGCACTTCTTTAAAATATAAAATTATTGTCAATAACACTATTAAATTAGGTTTAGGTCAAATATACGTCCGTATTTAAATGTATTAATGTATTGATTGTGTTGAACTGAGATAAATATCAAAGAGTAAAAGATACACACACTCTGTTTTGTTTTTGTTTTTTTTTTGTTGTTGTTCCAATATGTTTAAAAGTGTGGTTAAGCGATAACTTAAAATAAAACTAAAACTTTTCTGGTACAAATCAAAGCTGCATGAAGCATGCTGCCTTCAATTGTTAATAATTAACATGAAATTGAATTTTACACAATTAATGTCATACCTACGGCATAAATGGCAATGACTGGGATATAGAAGAAAAAAGGGCGCGCACAAGTCGGGTAGGGTGTAGAATGTCCGTAGGCCTATTGTTTAAAGGTTGACAGAGGGTAGGACTCGGGGCCAGTTCAAGGTACCGGCACTTTGGGCAGTTGCCTGGGGCGCTATCAACGATCTTCCAAAATAGGAAAAATCGTTGCATATGGGTGAAATGGAAGAAAAATAGAAAAACGCAATAAAAAATGTCGCTGATCTAAAGGCTAGGGGGGAAATTTCATTGTTAGACCGGTAAGCTAATTGTTCATACTGCGAAGGCCAAGGTAGGCTAACTTTCATGCTTCTCACGGTATGCTAATTGTTCATACTGTCCAAATTCAAGTTAAGAAAATAATTTTATTGTTAATTCTTTGTTTTAAAAAAAACAACTTAGGTAACAAATTCATTACCTAATGCCCAGTTTTATCCTTGCACAGTTTTTTTTTTATAATTAGGCCTATACTATACTTAAAAGCGGCGCCAAAGTTAAGCTTACAAGTTGCGCCAGCAACCGTAGGGCTGGCCCTATTTGAATTGTATGTATGTGATATGTAGGCATATTGTTTAAATGCCTGCAGGCAGGTAGGTTGTAGGACTGTCTGTAAGCCTGTTGTTTAAAGGCTGACAAGCAGTGATTATTTCAGAAATTTCCCGGGGGGGGGGGGGGGGGCCTTTCATTTTTTTTTTTTTTTTTTTGAAAAAAATATAAATTTTTTTCCGGGACCATTTTTTTTTTTTAATAAAAAGTGGGGGGGTGCACTTCAGATTTTTTTTACTTTTGTTGCAAAAAATATATAATTTTGTACCGGTACCAATTTTTACTGTTAAGCAAAAGTTATGAAGATAAGAGGTTTTACAATATCGCAATGAAACTTTGCACACTGATAACTAATAACTGTGTTATAATAATAAAAGTGTCTACACGTCCGGCACGCCGGACAAATAGTGCGCAAGATATACGGCTAGTAGTTTTTATAGTTCCCAAAGAATTTCCGTTGGAAGATATTGTGTGGAGAGTGGTCGCTTGACGATATAATGATTTGAGGATCAGTACCGGGGATACGATCGTTTTTTTTTTTTTCCCATTTTAATGTAAAATATTTTATACTATATTTATATTATCATGTTCATCAGCAACAGTAGTTTCATGAGAAGTTTTTAAATATTTTGTAACAATTTAAAATGAAATCTTTTACTTTTATTACTTTATTGGTCGCCTACTCCACACTGGCCCCTAATTTATTTAATGGATTACTGGTGCAGAAACTCAAATAACAAACTGAACAAAAATGTTTAAAAGCCACTTTCACTTAAGTTTTTTTCTATTATTTGCATGCAAGGTACTCAGTACATTACTTGGTAGAGAAATAGATTTTAAAATTAACAATAGTTTTGAATTATTCGCAGTCACGTGATAAGGGTGACCGACAAGATATCTCTCGCCACTTTGTTACGGCGGTCATGTGACTTGGTCGCCGGACAAATAGTGCGGGAGATAGACGTCCGGCGCGCCGGACGTGTAGACACTGCCTAAAACAATATCACAGGCTCATTGCATTATATTTAAATTATAATGATAGGAAAAGCTGTAAATTACTTGTATGTGGGGTCACTTAAAAGTTTGGCAAAATTTTGGGGGTAGCCTAAGTAAAAAAAATTTTTTTAATCTATTGAATAGATATAAATAAGTATGTACCGGTATGTTCAAATAGAGAATATCAATGGAAAGCAGCATGCAAAGTTTGTGTCAGTAGATATAATACTTTTCCTTCTGATACATTTATCATTCCTCAAAAATGTTAAAAACGCAAAGTGGAGTAAAAAAAAAAAGAAGTTTTAAAATGTTGCTTTAAAAAATTACATGCTTTAAGAACAATAAGAATGCATATTCCATGAACATATACCAATCATGAATGAAAAAACAATATAAAAATTTAGATAGAACAGAATTAGCTTATTTTTCAAACATACCCCCCCCCCAGGCCACAACAAAAATTTTTTCTTTAAGAAAAATAAGAATGCATATTCCATGAACATATACCAATCATGAATGAAAAAACAATATAAAAATTTAGATAGAACAGAATTAGCTTATTTTTCAAACATCCCCCCCCCCCCGGCCACTAATAAAATTTTTATAATAAATACAAAATTCTGAAATTTTTTCTATGCTACATATGTTAAAAAGACATCTATTATTATTTTTTAAAAAATATCAATAGCAATTAGTGTGCAATATTTGAAGTATGTGGCTACAACACTGCTCCTCCTGAAACGTCTGACGTCAGAAAAAAAATGAAAATGAAAAGTTTAGAAAAATGAAAATGACGTGATTATTGATCATTTTAAAAAATTACATGCTTTACGAAAAATTCAGAATGCATAATCCATGCACATATACCAATCATGAACGAAAAAAACAGTATTAAAACACAGATATAAAAGATAAAAATTAATTGAGTGATTAAATGGTGTTTTCAAAATACCAACCCCCGTCCCAAATAAAAATATTATAATAAACAAAAAATAATTAAAACATCCCTTCTGGACAGATCTTATAGAAGGAGGTGTTATTATGTAGATAATATCAATGGTAAAAAGCATGGAAAGTTAAGTGCTATTTCTTTTTCTTTTTTTTATACCGTTTTTTCTGTTTTGTTCACTGACGAAGGCTTTCTGTCGACACGTTCGCTGTTTTATTGCGTTTATTTTTGTTCTTTGAAGCAGAAAATGCCATAGATTCTTCAGATATTGAAGCTGGCGGTGAGGTTGGTGCCAAAAGTGGCGTTGAGGCTGGTGCCGAAGTTTGCGGTGAGGCTAGTTCTGGGGCTGGCGGTGAAGTTGGCACTAATCTGGCTTTCTCTTGTTGCTTGGACTTGAATCTCTTGTTTTTGGGGGCAGTGATTTTCTGTATTATGAATATAAAAAAATGTTTTCATTAGCTTTTGAACATAAAATTATATCAGTATTAGTCTTAGCAATTTCTCCTAGTTAGCCTGGCAAACGTAAATAGAATCAGTATTATATATTTTTTTTTAAAATCTAAGTAAGGAAATTGTAAGATTTCTATTATTACATTATTATTATTTGTTTTAATGGCTAATTCTTAGAGATCATCCCGTGACGTCATTTGCGTGTTTATTATAGTTGCAGTGAATTAGGGTTTAGGTTAGATTGAGGGATCGATTTATGGTTCAGGTTAGGCATGAGGATCGATTTAGGGTTCAGGTTAGGCATAGGATCGATTTAGGGATACATTAGTGACAGAATTAACTGGTTGTGTCAACGAAGATGGCGGCCATCGCAAGTCGATCGATCGATAAAAGGTTACGCTAACTCAGTGGTTCTCAACCTCTCTAGTGCCGCGACCCCTTAATACAGTTTCTCGTGTCGTGGCGACCCCCCAGCCACACAATTATTTTCGTTGCTACTTCATAGCTGTAAGGATATATGTTTTCAGATGGTCTTAGGCGACCCCTGGAAAAGGGTCCCGCGACCCACAAAGGGGTCGTGACCCACAGGTTGAGATCCGCTGCACTAACTGGACACAATGAATTTGGGAGACGGCCATTGCATTGTGGGATAGATTTCTGACGTATTGATGAAGTCTAAAATTAGCCGACCAATGTTAATTGCCCATTTAATTAAACTTTAAATCTCAACCAATTAGAAAATTTGTTCGAGCGAAAATATAGAGGCTTTGCCGAACAAAGAGCTGCATTTTTTTCTGAACATTTTAGTGGGCAATACCATTACCGAGTAGAGAGGCTAAGCTTTCCATCGATACCAGATATTGCGTTGAAATTATACTGTAAAAGCGAAGGGGGTCTATGGGGCCTGAATTTTCCCCCCGAAGTCAAAATTTGCTCTTACCATACTACTTTAAAATACATTTTTAACAACTTTAAATTATTTTTTAATGAAAATGGTAAAAACCAAAATGTTCCTTAGACTTAGAGGTTTATCTAGTAAAATTCACCGTTCATCTCATTTTTTATAAAAATATTTAAATATCGATATTTTCCCCCCTGGACCACCGGTTAAGGTTAGCCTCGATTTGGTGATGTCTTCTTCTTCATTAATCTAATGTTAGTATTAGTATTAGGCTTAACCGAAATCGGTCTTTATGACTGTTTTCAACCTTTAAAAGTGTTGGGAAGATTCAGAATAGTAAGCATTCGGTCAACTTACGCTTTACGGGTCCTCTGAGTCAGTTAGCCTTCATTAATCCTACTGGCCTAACTATAATAATAATCATAAGCCTACTATAGTATATAGTTATACTATATTAAAATTACTACTAAAGACTACTACTACTGTCAATATTATTGTCTATTATTAGTAAGTATTATTACTCTCTATCCTCAAGTATTACTAACTGACTATGACGAATTCAACTAAGTATTACTATAACTATAGACTATAGTAGTATTACAATACTTAATTTATTACTATTATCAAACAGTATTAGTATTAACTATTTGTAGCATTAGTCAATTTACTTTCTCTGGTCTCTGTGCCATGGCTTGTGTCTGTGTCATTGCTATCTACCAGTTGAATAATTGTATATTAATTTAAAAATTGTCATTGTGATTTATTAACAATAACATGTATCCGTGAAGAGCCTTCGGTCTTCAACATAGTACTTACTGAGTGTTCCTAATGTGGATGAACACAGAAAAAAGTCTTACAGAGTGCGCCCTTTTTAAGCGATAGTGCCAAAATTATGGAACAGTTTGCCTCAATCTTTGAGGGGATTGTAAATAAATGATAAAAAAATCATTTCAGAAACATTTTAAAACTTTTTTGTTTAAATTGATTTCGGAAAACCAGAGCGCAGTGAGCATGCTAAAGTGGCATGGATGCCAGCGCGATATAAGTATCAAAATCAATCAATCAATTTTTATGTATGATTAATGCCTAGGCCTAGGCCTTATTTGTTTTTAAACAATTAGCTTTAACCTAATACTAATTAGGCTCTTACATCATAGGGACCAGAGTTTCCCAACCTTTTCTGTTCTGGCTAAAACTGAAGGTCTACTGTATTACCCACTACAGACTACAAGGTTTCACTACATTTTAACCCTTTACACTTTACAAATTTTAATTTGTTTGTCTCACATACCCTAAAAAAGTACTTGTTGTTCGTCCGTCGAGATCGACGATGACCATCGAGTCGTCTGGTGACTGATGACTTGCGCGGGTGACTTTTGTTTAAAGTGAGGAAGAGTTGCGCAGCGTCAACCTCACTCTCTCGTCCGAGCCCATCATATCCAGTGGCAAGACTCTACGTCAAGACGACCAGGGATGGGTACGGTTGCAGGGATTGACATTGTATGCGCCTTACGGGACTCCAACTCCGGGTTTGAATTCAGAGTTTCCTTCATAATCATAATCATAATCTACAATACATTTATAATTGGAGACAAAAAAATTGGACTAATAATTTAAAAAAAATGTAATTACAAAGAATTCAAAGAGCATGTAGAACTTGGAAAATAAACTTGGAAAAACATTTGCTATAAACCAGTGTTTCTCAAATGGTGGTCTGCTGCCATTATATAATATACCGGTATAAGATAACTATTAAGTCCTTGTTTTTTGAGTTCTCTATTCTTATAAATCACTTTTCCCTCACACCCCCTGAAATCCCACCTTGCAACCCTTTGGGGTGCCAGCACTTCAGGCTGGGAAACTCTGGCCTAATAACTAAAAGTATGTTTTTCGGAGCCAGGGATAAATTATTAGATACTTGCATGAGGCACAGTGCCAAGGGTCTAAACTTATTGCTCCTTGTTCATTCAAAAGCTAGATTACATTCGATTTCAATATATGTTTTTTAATCTTGATTACTTGAGTTTTATTATGGAAGTCTGCTAGAGTATACCATTAGTGAAACCCAGATTTAGAATGTCTACATGATTTTTGTACATTGTTATGCTAATAGATAAATGTGTTCACAGATAAACTTGATTTATTTATTTCCCTGTTTCAATTATTTTCTGAACAGTTTAGCCAATGGAGTCCTCAGGCAACTTCACAGTAGAACAAGTGGAGCTAATTAGGAGACTGCGAAATAGCGGAGTTACACCTCAGCAAATACTGAATGCGTTTCAGGCATTTGACAGACTAGATCAAGAGCTTGGGGAACTCTTCTCTTTTCCTGGTAGGAGAAATGTGCAGGTAGATAACCAACTGGTACAATGGTTTTTATACAAGAGTCTAATTAGCTTAGATAATCTGATAGTCTTTTTAAAAAAAGGTTTTCAGTCCCCAGGGTTCCTTAAAATCTAAAATATAACCACATTTTCCTAAATGTTTTAATATTTTAATAAAGCTGTTTTTTTTTTTTAATTAAATAAATTTAAATAACTGTTTTAATGTCATGTTTATTAATGCCAATATTTTTATGTGAAGCCTGGTTAGCCCAGCCCTAGGCTGGGGTACCGCGCTATATAAGACCACTGTAATAATAATAATACTAAGTAAGAGACTAAACATAATGTTCAAAAAGTATTTTTTCATTTCAAAACTATCTTACTTCATTTTTTATTTCATGTTCAGCAAGACATCAATTACCAACCAACTGGCCCTGTGAATAGATTCACTGGAGGCTTTCTCCAAGCCAAACAGCTTCAAACAAATGCAATGTTGGGCAAAAGCACCAAGTACTCAGATGCTAATAAAGATGCAAGAGAAAGTTTGATGGACTTCAACAGCTCTTGTGAAACAAGACCAACTTTAAGTAATTCTAGAGGAACATCAGGTAAGAAGTTTTTCAAATTTTGTTGATAACAAAAACCAATTCATAGAACCCTTAAAGATATTGACCAAAGGCATTCATTTTTTTAATGAACAAAAACATGTTTTAATATTGCCAGTAAATGTTGCCTAAAAATATTATAAAATTTGAAAACATACTTTTTGAGAAATGTTATTATTTCTGATTAACCGATTACCATAACTAAAAGAGCATAGATTGCCACAAAGTTTTAAATACCGGTATTTAATTTTGTTTTGTGTGGTGTGTTTTTTTTTTCTATTTATTTGGGTGTTATTTAATTCAATTGTAGCTCCAAATGAATTTTTAGTACTGTTTTGAAACGTGAACATTTTATTATATACCGGTATAAATATATGCCCTTTTTCACTTGCAGAAAAAATCTTAATATTGTTTGTAATATTTATACTGTGGCATATAAAGTGTTCCATTTCTATATTTTATTAAACAATAAAATATTAATTTTACTTATACTCAATGACTCAATGTTTATGAACTGCGTTGAATTATGCACTCGTCATGTAATGAAGTTAAAGAACAATTATAATATGTCTTATCCTAACATAATAAGACTCTCATATTATAATTTTCCAGATTTAAGAACATCTCAAGGAACAAATAATAGCACCCCACAATCTGTAGTCACCAAAAATACCATTCTCTATAACAGCAACTTGGCATCCATAAATGATTCACCTGTGTCCCATAAAGAAGAAACATATAGTTGCTCACTTGATAAATATGCTCTCTTTCTATTAAGGTCAGTTGGTGTTTGCCATTGTAAGTGCTTGTACTTGTACCTGTATATATCAGCTCACTGTCACATTTAACACTACAGCAAGCAATTCATTTCAATATATATATATATATATATATATATATATATATATATATATTATATATATATTTATAAGAGAATTAATAAAGCGTTGTTTATGTCTGAAATATTTTATATTTTATATATCAACGCACACTCACATATAACAATACAGAAAGAAATATATTTAAATATATATATATATATATATATATATATATATATATATATATATATATATATATATAATTGTAAGGGAATTAATAAAGCGTTGATTATGTCTGAAAAATTTAATATTTGTTAAAAATTTAAGCCAAAATCTGACATTGCATTTTTGAAATATTATTTTAAATGTACTGGGTACTTAGAGCTTCTATTTATATATCGGTACCGGTATATCTTTTAATCTTGTTTTCCACAGTTTGAGCAAAGAAATTTTTGTAGACCTTGTACGGAGATGCTTGATCCTATATCCAGACTTTGACCCAATAAAACAGGCTGCAGAAATTGGTAATAAATTTTTGATAGTGTAAATCACCTATTGTTATTTAGATTTAGAAAACTTCTGCATACCAAACAAAAATGTTTCAGTTATACAAAAGAAACTTAAAATCACAATAAATCATAAGTTGATAAACTCCTTTGATGCACTTATGAAGAAATTTTGATTGTTTTGCTTGTCGTCATTGACTTCAGGTTACGTTGTAACTAATTTATTATATTAATTATAAGTCTGATTTTTGAATGCAAAGAATCTCATGTCTTCAGTTAGTAAAAGAAATTCTGTTAGGCTGCAGTGAAAATTGAAAAACAACTCAGTCCTTATTGGTCACCTTTGGCTGCTGCTGTCTGTATAGTCACGTTACTGTTTTGAAGAACTTTCTCGTTCAAGAAAACAAGTGTCTGAGCTTTATGCCTATAGATGTTTTTTATTAACAAATAAATACATTTTAAAAAAGCTTTTCTGATGCATTAAAAAATTTGTATTCATTTTACAACTTTAAAAAAATTTTCTTATTGATTTTGTTAAGCTTGCTCAGCAAATTCTCATACTTAACTTAATGTTTAAGATTATTACTCAACATTGACCAGAGTATCTTTAAAACTAAAAACGTTACAACCAATCAATATAAGCCCAATAATTGAGATTGCCTAAATGTAACAAGTTATAGCAAAAACATCCATGTTTCTGCAGAAAAAATAGTGAAAGGTATTTGGAAGTTTGAATAAAAAGATGGGACCATGAATGAAGAACATTTCTCAGCTAATAACAATGGTGAACAGTGAACTTTTTTAACTAGTTACTATTTTTTGTCACATTTTAAACTGTCCTGTCTGCTGAGGAAGGCTCTTAGCTGAAATGTTCTTCACTTATTGTCCTGTCTTTCAATTCATTTCAAGCTTCCAGATACCTTGTTCTACCATTTCCTTCAAACAGCTTGAACACAGTCCATTTGTTATCCTTCATTTTGTAGAGTAACCTGTAGTAACAAAGTGGCTGAAGCTGTTGGAATACAAGATATATTTAATTATTTTTTTTTTGCAGGGGTCAGTGAAATGTCCATGCATGTTTTTCTGACTGGTGAACTTCAACATGTTGACCCAATAATGAAACATAAATTAATAGACTGGTTTACTGGCAAGCTTAAACAGACTGACTGGTTTTATGAGGAATATAACCATCTCATACATTTTCAAGGTATTAGTATATTTAAATCAAAATCTTTGTTCATTTGAGGAATATATGATTTAAGTTCTGTTTAGGTATAACTTTTGTTTGACTATTGGCATTTATTATTTAATTCATCATAGAACAAACTGAGGGCTTGGATGTTCATTTCACACCAAGAAGAGAACGTTTCACATTTAGGGAAAAGCATCTTGAAGTTTTGGAGATGTTTTTTAAAAAAGTGCAATATCCAAATCAGGATGAGAAAGAGCACATTGCAAATGAATGCAACAACGCAATGGCAATAGAAGGTAAGAATTTTACCCTAAAGTTTATTACAGAGGCAAAGTTTAACATTAAATATTTTTTAAAATTAAATGTATCCTAAAACTGTTGGCCACCTCACCTTTTTTTCGTGAAATGCTAGTTAATTTTGGTAAAAATTACGCTTCATTTAACATGTCATCATCATGCTTCTGCATTGGAACCTTCACTAAAGAACTTCCTCTTTTGTTGTACTATTTCATCAGTGGCATCCTTGTTTTAGCTAAGTGTAATACATTTAATATTACACTAATCCAGTCCCTGCTATCCCTTCAGTCTTAAAATATTTTTTTTTTTAATTAAATATTTGCGCTATGAGCCGCTCTAATATTATAAATTCGTGACTCATTCCTAATAAAACACTAAGAGATGAAAATATTTTTCTTTAACAGTTGGTCGTGATTTGGGTGAAAAGGAATGCATGACGCATATAAATGTTTCCAATTGGTTCAGCAATAGACGGAAGGAAATCAAAAGATTGCCTAAAAAAGGTAACAAAATAAATAAAGGTGTAAAATAAAATAAAAGCAAAAGCTTAAAATTCATCTGTTAAATGCTCATACAAATTAAATAACATTCTTAGTGCCAAGTGGAAGAAAATCTTCAGCTAATTTTCCTTTCAGAAAAGTTGGAGAGTAAAGTTACTATATTTGGTTTAAGTTCTAACACAGCGGACAGTTCGAGGTAGTGGAAATATGAAATAGCTATATATAAATTATTTTCATTGCAAGATAACATAATTTAATCAGATCCATATTTTTATCATCTTTATTAGGAGGAACTAAAATAGAAAAGGTGATCCTTCCTAGTCGATTAAAAGCAAAAATACACCCAACAGCTGAGGAGTTATTAGAAGATCAGCTTCTAAAATCTAAATCTGAATTACAAGCCTCAAATGACAGTGGGCAGCAAAATGGTGGCATATCATTTAACAGTTCTGAAACAGACTCATCAGTGAGTCAGGACAATTTGAAATCAGAATCTACCGACCCAGAAAATCCGCATTATTGTATTCCAGGTGGACATAACTCTTCTACTATCCATGAATACACAGACTCGACCGTTGATAATTCTGAAGCTGTGACTTTCCCAGCACATGGGCTATCTCCACGGCAAGAGAAAGATAGCCAAACAAAATCACTAAAACATAGGAATATTTGTAATTCTTACTCTAGTTCGAATGATGTGAACTTCATATTTTCTGATTGTGAAGCTGCTAAAGTAAAATTAGAACCTGATTGTGAACAAGGGTAAAGAATGTGGTTGTTTGGTGAATACTTTGTTGTTGCTTTTATATGTTAAAGATACATTTCCTGGTACATACAGTGCAATTTTACTTGTGAGGTAATATGAAAAGATGACATTTTTGTTCCACTTATAATGAAAATTACTTGAATGAAAGAATGGCTAATATTTCAAAGTAAGTTTGTGTTGAGAATGATTGTATTTACATTTTTAAGGTACCGTACAAAAATTGTACATGTGCTTTTTGATTCATTCATTGTTTTGAGTTCATTTATGAATTCTGAGTGATCAGAGAGAATTAAGTTTCAATAAAATTAAAACCGGAATGGAAAATATTTTAATAGACAATAAATTTAGTCTATTTATTATTAGTTATTTTTCTTTCTATAGCAACTATCAGTACTAGATCATTTTCTGTAGATCACAGGGAGATAACCCTGATGGCTGTATGAAACAACCAACACATCATTTAGATGTCTGAGCATGTCACAATCACCTTCCAGTGTAATGATGGATTCATCCTTTCTGATCTTACTCTAAGGCTCTTTTATTTCATTTCTTAAATTTCCTGATCTACTGGGATTTGTGATGAAAACGTGCACACTTCTTGCACATTTGCTCAGACAATTCTATCCCAGATCTGACCTAGACATCGAGTCAGATCGTGCTGTTTTTTCATCTGCCTTTTTGTTGACGAGGTTGATGATCTTGTGAAAACAATAGACCTAACATACGTATTAAAATCTTTCAGTTTCATTGTTTATTTGCCTTCACTTCTTCACTATGTTTTAACCTGGTAATGGCACCTTTGCCTTTTGTATTCTTGTCTTTACATCTTTAGTAATTCTAGGTATATGAAGGCATCTACCATCTTTAGTAATTCTACCTGCTAGGTATATGAAGTTTAGATCATTGCATGCAGTGCTTTGGTATTTCTTGATAGCTTGCCTAATGAAAAAGAATCCACGGATGTTGTCTTGTCCTGTTTATGAAAAAACAGCCAGAGCATCCCCAGCACGGTGGCATTTCAGGGAAAGTGACTTAAGAACAGCGGAGCCATAGACTTGTGATACAAATGTTTTTTTCAAAAATATTTCTTTACTAAAATTTGTTCTCAAGTTCCTGAGGTGCCAATCTCATTTTCAGAACACTGAAACGTCTTGGTCCGTTAAAATATTAATTATTTTTAGAGATTCAATGTTGGCATAAATACAGTCTTAAACCCTGACAAACAATATCACAACTGACATAACATTTGCATCAAATTAGAGGTCTGCAGATCGGCACCAATCCAGAAGCTTTACGTTGTCGGTCCCCACACTATGAGTTAACTTGGGGAAAACTTTAATATTTTCCAAATTTAATATTTTCCCTTGTTTAAATGGATGTTCATTCTCCTGTCTACAATCAAGCTGCTATTTGTTTTGCTTGTTAATAATAAGCAGGTACACCTTTCACATCAAATAGTCACTGTTACCTTAACTGATTTTTTTCTTCCATATTTGTTTAATGAACTCCCTATTAAGACTTATGTCATTTATATAGCAAAAAATATTACATATATTTTTAACAGCCATGACAAAAAACTAATCATAGCTAGTATTAAATGGCCATATACGCCTCATTGGAGTCCCTGATCACGGATAAAAAATTGAGTTGACACATTTCAGGTCAAATAAAAAGAAAATTTCTTATTACTTTATAGGCGTAGCACAGGGTCCCTGATGCAGTGGGGAAACACATCCACTGGTAAACTTAACTTAAAAGCGTGGGAAGCTCTGATTTACACCACTGGTACAAATAAACCAATGCTCATGCACAGTTCTAAAAATTAATGAATGCTTCTTATATAAAGGTTTAAATAAAATTTTATAAGAAAACAAGCAAACTGGTAGGAAATACATTTTAATTTTTGTAATTGAACATTTTTAATTTAACATGTAATATGTCAGAAAACTTGCATATTTTTTAAAAAGATAAAACACTATGAATTTTCAGTAACAGTATTAAGATATGCCCAATTCCTCAGGCTTTACTGGCAACAATTAATTAATTGATACAATAGTGGGCAGAATTATCAATTCATTAGCTGCCCCTTGTTCAGCTTATAACATTTAAACTTAATCATTATTTAACCTCCTTATATATCTTCTTCCACATTGTAAGAATAATAACATTAGATAAAATAAGACATTTTTTACCTACGACTCTTACAAAAGTTCTGGCTTTAATTTGAAGGAATTAAAACTGAACACAACACTGATAATACTGTTTTTTGGAACTTCCTAATTATTTCTCTCTTAATCTTAAGGATTTCTAAGGGATCAGCTGTAAATTAGTTGCTGAAGCAAAGTTACTTTTAAGTTGGATTATGGTGAGCTGGGTGTGCCAGATTGGATCTTCTCATTTTTATTTCTTTCTGGATCTTGCATTCTGAAAATTTTGACATTGCTGATTTTTCTCACAGAGCTGTTAGAAAAGAATGTAAAAAAATGTTATTTCAGGTAGAAAAGAATGTAAAAAATGTTATTTAACCTGAAAGTGATTAACATACAGATTCATTTTAGATTATCTCCTTCTGCTGAATATTCCAATATCCATATTGTAATCTTAAGGATTATTAGACAAAATTTTAAAAATATTCTGAAATTTAAAACATATCTAAATATTTTTTTTATTTCTGAAAATGCTGAACACTAAAAGATTTATGATTATAAAGATGTAGAGCTGAACTTTGGTATAGTTGAAAGCTTTTTTAGATTCTGGATTTTTGTACTCTCGAAACATTCTGTCACAAATTCAAGCTTTATGGAAAGAAGAGAATCTGAATTTTGTAGTAATATTGATATTTTTATAAAATTAAGATCGTTTAGCGGTGTATTGCAACTTTTTCATGCTTATACTTATTGGTTAAAAGCTACCAAAGATTATCAAACTATAAAAAAATATATTTTAAACAAAATAATGACCTCATATCTTGTGGAGTCAGGAAAATAAACTGTTTGTTTTTGTGCATGTCTGCCGCACTCATCATCATGTCCATGGAAATTCTTCTGTTTACCATGTCCTGGGAACCAAAAGTTACAAAATAACATCAAAATTCTTCTGTTTACTATGTCCTTGGCAACTAAAGTTACAGAATAACATGGAAATTCTTCCTTTACCACGTACTAGGAACAAAAGTGTACCATGAGTTACAGAATAACAAGAAATTTAATTGGCTTTGGCTTTCATTCCAAAATTATGTCCATGTTCTTTAGGTTCAGATAACAAACCACAGGTGGCATAAAGTGATTTAACCGATCATAATTTAAGATTTGTTTTAAAAATACTGTGTCGGGTTTTATTTTTAAAGAATTCCTAGTGACTATTATACTGGAGCATTTAATGAATGTACTTTTAAATACCGGTATCCTAATCAATATTAACAAAGATGAAAATGACAAAAATATCAAAGATCCTATTCAAACCACCTAGATTTACATAAATATCTAGAAAGAATTTTCTATAGGCTGATTAGCAGATAAATAGTCAAAAAGGCAGATTATTAATCATCTGCTGATTAAAATTAATACCAGTAGCGAAATAATAACTTTGACTCTGGGTGGTTATGTATGACAATTTTATTTACCTTTTATAAATATTTCAATACTTTAATTATGCACATACCTAGAAAAATATTTACAATAAAAAAATTCAACTCAAGTCTGATCTATACACTTACCATAAAAACATCAAACTCATCAAGACATCGAAAAGGTGCATCCATTGTTTCCCAGAGTGACAATATGAAACAAACTGTAGAAAATGAGCGCTCCCCTCCAGACAGGGACTTCAAATCTTTTTTCTCAAGCCCACTATTGGCTTTTGCGGCCTTCGTTTCTTGAGTTGTGTTGACACAGATCTCCAGAGTCTCCTTGTTGAAGTCAAAGTTCATTGTCCCAGTGAAAGAACGTTGCGACATTTGTATCAGAAAGAAGTATCTGAGGAGGGGAACCATGACAACATTAAATAATATATTAATACAGTCATACGGGTACTGGTACATTTTTAAAAAACACTTAAAAATAGCAATGATAAAGATATTGATATGAATACTTCAAGTTCAAGGAATTTATTTGGTAGGTATGCATAAACTCCTTAAGGAACTCTTGCTTTGTGCAATAATAAGACAAAAATTTTATTCCAAGGACAGGGTACTCTTAGAGAGTCAAGCAACAGATGCTTCTTTTCAAATCCTTCATGTTTGTACAGATCATGGGAGTAACAGAAGCAATTGGTTTGTAGCTAGTAAAATGTTCATCAAACTCCGTATCACATATTTATAACTATGATATCAGTTGGTAATACAGATTATCCCAAAAGACTAAATAGTCTTGTACAAAACATGATAATTTTGCCACAAACAGTCTGCTTAAAAGGCAGACATGAAGGTTGAGAAGTCTCAGAATTGGTTTGGTATGTTTAAAATTAATATTTAAACACTCTAAATTTTTCCATTAATATTTCACTATCAGATAAACCAAATAAATATAAGCATCTTCACTAGATGCGTTACACGAGTTGAAAATATTAACAAAACTAAGAACTTACTTTGCTCTGTTGGCAATCAACTTTCTCATTTTCTGGTAGGCTATATCCCTCTTTGCCAAAACCTGTACAGTACAGAAACTTGATGTGTAAATATTTTGTAAAGCTTGCAATGGGAAAAGATAAATATTTGTAAAAAGAATCTGGTTAAAGACATCCAGCCAAAGTTGTTATATATTTGGTGATCAACTTGGAGAAAGTTTACTACTTAAATCCATGCTGCTTTATTGCTGTTCAGTGTATGTGCAGTAAATTTTTCCCACTTTGCTACCGGGTACAGCATGATGGGGGCGCTGCTTTTTTAACAAAAAAGCATATAAAATTAACGACAAAATGTTTAAGTCATAACATCATTGTCAAATGAAACATGAATTGATATACCATACTAATTTGGTTTTGAGTAAATATGTTTTCGTTCTGAAAATGCTAGCCACAAATTATCTGCACAAAAATTACTAATGAAGTTAAATCACTGATGATATTTCAAAAATGGATTTTTTCCAACTGAGTTAAGATTTGAAAATGCTAGCCACAAATTATCTGGTAAGATGAGTGGGTCCACTAAATTTAAAACCAAACATAATTATCTAGGATTTAGAATAGTACTAATGAAGTTAATTCACTGATATTTCAAAAATGGATTTTTTCCAACTGAGAATTTGAAAACTTTATAAGCTACAAGAGTTTGAATTTTTAAATATTTTGTTTTATAAATATTATTTTTGGGTCACAAAAAATGCACAAACATCTTAAAAAACATGGTATAAAATTTAAATTTTGTTTATTTAAGATGAAATATAAAAATTAATCTATTTCATCAAAATTATTCGACTGAAATCGATAAATTTAGGAGGAGCAGGCAGTTCCAGCAAAGCTATGACAAATTTAAAGGCTCACATCAATTTATCAATTTCATCTACAATAGTTTTACCTCCTCTAGTTTTTTAATATATTTATTTAGCTGGTTAACTTCTTTGATGACGCGCTCCAGAGCCTCTCTCTTCTGTTTATATGTGGTCGTAATCAGCTCCTCGTTGCCTTGCTGCACTTCTTCTTCATCTATACGTCTTTTGGTTTCTGTAATTTCTCTCTCAATGCTGTTGGGGGTCCTTTTTGTATTGACTGGCTCACAATATTCACTTGCTTTCATTCTATCTTCATCCACCTCTTTCTTGTATGACTCCAACTAGAGTAGGAATGAACTAAAAGTGTGATTATGAAAAGTCATGAAAACCTGCTATAAATAATATTATTAACAGCTATTAAAATCTTAGCTGATCTCATTTCTGCAAGATTCGGAGTCAAACTTTTGTTAAAAAGTTCAAACAAGAGAAAAATCATTTTAAATATTAGATATTTGGGAAACTTTATAATTTTTATGTGCTAATTCTTCAAAGAGCTTTATGTGATAGTTAAAAGTGTTTAATGTGACAGTTCAAAGTGTTTAATGAGACAGTTTTTGATTCCATGATCCAAATATATATCCTCCAAATACACCAAGGTGTCTGACGTCGCTAAACACAGATCTCATGCCAACATTTTTCCTAGGACTTTTAGTCATGTTACAAATGAGACATCAACTCCACTAATTTAGCTAGATTAACTTTTCTATTTGTTAACAACATAGTTTCCATTGTACGTACAGAGATTATATCTATCTAACCGAGGCTATATCCATTTCACAGAGGCTATATCTATCTGACACCTTGTCTCTGGTCATTTTTACCTTTTGCTTAAGCTCCTGTATTTTTTGTTCTTGTTCTTTTAGCTTTGAAGCGTAATGTTTTACAGTATCACGTGCTTGACCCAGTTCAGCTTGTGCCTGGCTAATCTCTTCTTTTAATGGTATGGCATTGTCTGGGGACAAAAACAGACTAGATTTGTGGACATTTACAAAAATTAGAAATTAGGTCTTTGATAAAAACATGTTAGTTCACAATTGAATTTTTGAACCTCTCCAAAATTTTTAGCAGACATTTTGGGTTTCAACACTAGCTCTTTGCAAATCACACAATTGAAAATTTGTATATCATAGTTGTTTACCCTCTTTAAGTTCATCAATAATGTATATTACAAAGGAGAATGTGTATAATGTCATATTGCTTTTTGGGTGAAAGCATTTTTTTTTTTATCGGATTAAAACTACCTAGTATTGAAGGACTGTTATTTTTAGCTGAGGTTAAAAATAAATAAATAAGGTTACCAGATTTTTCTCTTAAACTTGCTTCCAGCCTGGTGTAGTTTTCATTAGCAACTTTAAGGTTTTCATCTGCCTTCTTCTTATCTAGCAATAGTGCCTCACGTTTTGTTTTCATATCCTCAATCTTTTGGTTATAAGCTTCCACTTCCTCCTCCTGACATAAGAATTTCAGCAATTTTTTCATAACATTAACAAGGATTAGAACTATGTTAGGATAGGAGCATGAGGCGCCTGAATATGGTTTTATTATCAGATTGGCATTTCTTGTAAACATAACACTTAAATTGTAAATATTAGATCCTAGGAGTGGCAACCACATTTAAGTATATTTCATTAGAATCTAAGAACAAGTATAAAAAGATAATATAATGATTTATGAAACCACAATAAGCAAGGGAAAGCCAGGCCTAACCAGCAAGCTAGTTCCATGTTTATTAAATCCTATATGAAATACCTCTTTATGTATATATCACAGCTATGTTTATAGTATCTCTGTTCATTCAATGTTAAATAATAAGATACTATTTTTAAAGAAATTCCTATTAAAATTTCCATCTTTAAAAACAAAGTAATAAACGAAGAGCAAAAAGAGATGGTACCAAAGTTGTGACATCAACAGGGGAGGGGTCCTCAACCGTCTGAAGCTCAGTAATCTCAAATGTCAATCTACTTGTATTCTCAGTCATTTTGTTGAGTTGAGTCAAGCACTTCTTCTCTTCCTGTTGGTTTCTAGCGATCTCTTTCTGGCATTCATCATGCTGGCAAAAGAGAAACACTTATAGTACAAAATGACACTATGGGTTTTATTGTTTAAATAATATTGAAACAAAGAGTGGGGCCCAGTTACAATGTGATAACTGGGGTCCATAATATGGAATCATGTTTTAGCAAAGTCGTGTTCATTTGGAGTTTTATAAAATTTGATGTGACCTACTCCAGTTGTTGAAAATGGATGAAATGTACACATACCAACTTACACATACCACACTGTCTCACAGAAGCCTTGCATTATTTACAGCTATTTAAGAGGACATTACTTACTTTCAACTGATTACAGCTAACAACCCCGCCAACATGTTGGCTGCTTTCATTCTTTGTTGTATATTAATTTAAAAAATGATGCACCACCTTAAAATCATATTATATTCAAATTAATACACAATCTCATTCCCTAAATGAAGTTATGTATATTTTTTCTTTTTTTTTTTTTCAACGAAGCTTTAAAAAAAACTATTTTCTTGTTCAAATAATTTTTAAAAAGCCATGCCAGGATCATGTTATATCAAATTTTGTGTCATACTCTGGTGCATTGTAGACGGGTTCCTCTGTATTTAATACTTTATGAATGTTTCACAATCTCATTCCCTAAATGAAGTTATGTATATTTTTTCTTTTTTTTTTTTTCAACGAAGCTTTAAAAAAAACTATTTTCTTGTGCAAATAATTTTTAAAAAGCCATGCCAGGATCATGTTATATCAAATTTTGTGTCATACTCTGGTGCATTGTAGACGGGTTCCTCTGTATTTAATACTTTATGAATGTTCAGGTTAAAAAAAGCTAGAATCTCATTGTTTCTATGTTGGTTGAGATAACTGAATCTTATTTTTTCTGAGTTGGTTGAAATAATTGAATCTTATTGTTTCTGAGTTGGTTGAGATAACTGAATCTCATTGCTTCTATGTTGGTTGAAATAATTGAATCTTATTGTTTCTGAGTTGGTTGAGATAACTGAATCTCATTGCTTCTATGTTGGTTGAAATAATTGAATCATTGTTTCTGAGTTGGTTGAGATAACTGAATCTCATTGTTTCTATGTTGGTTGAAATAATTGAATCTCATTGTTTATGTTTTGACTGAAATAATTTAATCTTATTGTTTCAGTGTTTATTAAAGAATGAAATGTTTTATAAGAAATCCATGTCAAGAGCAAAAAGAAAATTACTTCCGGTTTTATATTTAGAAAGCTTTTTTTTTTAAAATGAATATTTAAAGAATGGCACAAAAGTGATATCAATTTTACTTAAAAGTAAGCATTTGATGAATTCAAGATGTGCTCAAACAACCAACGTTATATATTGAGTTACATGTTATGATGATTGATGATGATAAAGATTATAGATAACATTTATTCCTTGGACAGTTGTTTATTTTCATTTTACTTTAAATTCATTTTCAGCCTATATCTAATTTTTTTTTTGTTCTGTTCATAATCATCATTTGAAAACAGGTGTATACACATATCTTTTCCTTGAATTCTGGTATATACACACGTTTATTGTATATAGATATGTATTATGTATGAATTTCTGTACATGGAATATACACAATAAATTTTATGCATGGGCACCTTTCTGTTCATGATCCTTATCTCCTCCTCCAGCTGTTTCTCTTCTTTCAGCAAATCTCTGATCTGATCATTGACATCTGCCATCAAGTATCTGACTATAGTTTTATCAGAGGAATAGTAGCGAAAGGTTGGTAAAGAGTACAGCTGATCCCCTGACACTGTGAAGCACTGAGATGAACAAGACACAAATACAACACATTATTTTCATAGTTAAATTTTACTATTGTTTATAAATAACATTAATTAAGATTAAAAATTATTTTATATGTTTTTGTTCGCATACCAAAATTTGTTTGAAAGTAAGTTGGTCAACAGAAAATTGAACAACGGAAGTTTGGTCGAATGGAAATTTGGTCAAACAGAAGTTTGGCGGATTTGAAAGTTGGTCGAACTGAAATTTGGTCGATCCGAAATTTGGTTGAACGGATGTTTGGTCAAACCGAAGTTGGTCCAATGGAAATTTGGTTGAACTAAGTTTGGTTGAATTATTATATTATTAATTTTTGTAATTCTTAAGAATAGAGATGCAAGTTAGAAATAGGGATATTTGTTCTGAATGAAGTTTATTCAAATGGAAATTTGTTTGAATTTAAGCATTAAAAACATTGTACACTAGCCTAGTTTTTTAATAATTGGGTAATTAAATAACAGAAATACAACCAATAAATTGATCGTGGGCCCTTAAGATATAGAAGAAGAAGAAGAAAAGTATAAAAAATGCACACTCTCAATAATTTTATCATTTCAACATTTTTATTTATAAAATATAGGATAATCGCATTTGAATTTATGATGCAGGACAACACTGATTTCTAACAATATAAGCTATTTTTCAAAGGCATTTAGCGGCATCAACCTAATGGGTGGGCCTTATATGATAAATGGCATCCTTGTCTAAAATGACCTATGTTAAAAGCTCAACAAATTGACTGAAACTTTTAAAAAAATCTAGCAGTTGATGGCTCCGTGTATGTGAAGAAAGAGAGTGTCACAAATTAGATGATGGTCGTAAGAGGTATTGCCCATTGCGTACCAAGTAGTATTGGTGTTGGTTGATGCAGGAGTTGCTCCACTCTGTGAAAGTTCAGTGTCCAGTCGTTGAGGAAATATAACGAAGACAACACAGACTTCAAATAATGACCAATAAATTCCTCATTAACAACTATAAACAAAGAATGTATTAATAGATACAATACAGTCTAACAATATTCCCTTTCAAACCGTTAACATCCATTAGTCTTCAACGCTTCCCAACTTCCAAAACATTCAGTAATCTTCAACGCTCCTTAACCTCAAAAAAAAAACTTTTTTCTCCTCCCGAAAATCCACCCCCCTCGTTTTTTATTAAGTAAAATTGGTGCCACATATCGGGAAATTCCGAACAAACACATTATAAATTACATGAAAAAGCAAAGGGAGCGCCTTTGTTACACCCCACTCCAGTCATTTGTGACAGAGAGCAGTGTGACAATACAATTTATTGGAAATGTGAAAACTTAAACAACAAAAAATAATTCATGTTCATGTCGGATAGCAACTACTAATAGTAGTAATAGTGCTGTAGTTAAGAACATAATCATGCATCTGATAGCTCCAAAATTGAAGTGCATACAATATTGAACAGGATTAAAAGGGATACCATAACTACATGTGACTCTACTCATTATATTTTGTCTAATGATTAATTAAAGTATTTAATGCAGGCAACGAAAGGTCAACCGTCTTCAAATGAAACTATATCTAACAATATAAAATAAATTACAAAATTAGAAAAAAATTCCGCTCTATCGAATCGTACAAGTCTCCCCTTTTCTAACTCGCACATCTAGGACTTCTCAACAAACAAAAAATCAATCAAATTTCCATTTGACCAAATTTCCATTTGACCAAATTTCCCTTCGAACAAACTTCCGTCAAACAAATTTCTTTCAAAAAAATTTCCGGTAGCCATTTCTTTCTTTTTTTTTTTTTTGTTGTAAAATATTAAATTTTTAACAAGTGCTCATATGACATGCAGGCTAATAATAATGTGCACACAATGCACAGAAAGTGAACTGTAAAATAGATTATTGCAGTTGCATTACAAAAATAGACTTCCCCCTCAACCCCAAAAATAAACTTAATTTAAGTTTTGCATCAAATTTATAAAAAACAAAAAATGTTGCAATTAAAAAAAATTTAAGAACCTCTTTTGCTTTCTCTGGAGGGTCTCTCAACATAACTGCACGAGCCTCATCGGAATTCTCAATCAGTACAACATTTTCAACTCCTCTCTGTGAAGTTTAGAAAAACTGTCAAGCAATCACAGATATACCTTTCAATAAAACATAAGGTTTGTGATAAATGTCATAGTTCTAAAGAATACTTTACTAGACTTAGACCATATAACACTTAACTTCAATATAACACTTAAATTCAATATAATACTTAACTTCAATATAACACTTTCCTCGAGTAGATCAAGATCATAACATTTAACTCGAATTTGTTAGTTTATTCAATAGTGATCTGATTTTCTTTTTCCCAATTACTCTTTTTTTTTTAATATGAAAATTAAAAATAATGAAGTCCTGCCAAATATAGAGAGTCTTTGCTTCATTCTGTGTAAAGGTTGGGACCATTGCAAATTTTATCATGTGAAAAGGTTGGAGCCACTTCTAATTTTGACATGTTGATTACCTGATCAATGAGGGTGTTTACAATGACTGGATCATCACATCTGATGACATCCAGCAGGCAAGGATAAGTGGCACTTCTCACTCTCTTGTTTAGAAAAACAAAAAAAATGCATTTGTGTTATTATCTTATGTTAACACTAATTTTATTAAACTGCTCTCAAACTTATTAGAAAAAAAACACCCATAAAATATTAATGATAAGGTAAGATAACACACAGACAGACCGCTGCATGACAGGGCTGCATCGTACCCTTCATTCTGTTCACTCTCTGTGAATTTTCTTATGAAAAGGATGAAGGAAAAAATAGATTTCTCTAAGGACAAAGTGCTGCTGGCAGATACAGATCTTTGCGGCCAAAAAAATGACCATCATCTACAACAGGAGTGCCTAGTTAACAAGATAGTAGTATATGAGGGACTGCCTTCAAGACATGCAACGTATATAAATATTGGAACAAGATAAGTGTAGGCTTGAAAAAAAAAACAGGACAATTACAAGGACGTTTCGGCGAAATGCCTTCTTCAGCAGACAAGACAAAACAAGTAACAACAAATAAATAGAAATTTAAAACTTATGTGTAAGATTCTAATCAAAATGTAGCTTTCAAAGTCCCTGTTAGAAATGGAAGTAAAGTTTTTAAAAACCAAAACGTGTGTCCCACATAATTCTAGGGTGCCTACCATCAAGATAAAAGAATTTAAGTGTTATTCATGAATTTTATTATTTGAATCAACAAAATATGAGAATAAAAATCGAGGTGAATTGAGGACCACTAATAAGAGTATTTTATTAATTCCTTATGTTGATATGGTGCCGAAAATTTGAATTATTTTGTTTTGATTCTTCACTCTCCCTGGTGTATTAGTGTAAGGGATTAGAGCTCTGATGGATACATCTGATGTGTGTCTGAGGATTAACAAGGACAAACTAAAATATTGAGTGTCCAACATGTAATTCTAGAAGCCAGAGACAAGATTCTTGAAGAGAAAACCAGATAAACCTAGGGAGACTTATAGGCAAACCTTTTGAAGAAAACAGGAGATTTTGGACATGAGCCTAAAAAAACCATTGAAAATTAAGCGGCAGACAGAGAAAACAGAAATATATCTCTGCTTTGGAGAAACTAAGACTTATATATATACCATGCTAGACACTGTGATGACACCAAGTTTTGATTCTCTGATTAGTCCATTTTTTTTATTACTATGAATGATATTGTCCCTCAAATAATTCAAAAAGTTTATAAACATAACTATGTAATTACTTTTATAAACATGACTGTGTGTCAAACTCCCAATATATATATATGATAGGTTTAATTCATCAGATTCTTCCCACTTTCATATGTCATTGTAAACCGAATTAAACACACAAGTCCTTTTCTATAATTAATGTAACTGTAATCCATAAATATATCCAACAGACTGTATATTTCCTTAACACGTGTATAGTGCAGCGCGCTGTAAGAGAGATAACACAATATCCAGTGCGCAACATTTATATAGTGAACTCCCATGCTCAACACTGTGCACTTAAATTCATAAAATGAATGTGTACTTACATATCTAGAAACATCATAAACCTCATTCTGAAATATTGAGAGGATAAATTGAACAGTGGAGATTGTTTAACATGAAACCATGGAAACTAACATATTTGTTCAAGCTTAAAAGAAGTTTCTTATTCTTTCACTTTTGATTGTGCTGTTTGGCAATTATTTAACATAGCTACAACTAATACTGATTAAACTACAGCTCAGGCAGTCATTGTTGATTGTCACATTAAAAAAATTTTGATACTGGATAACAACAATTTCATCAAGAGCATCCGCCATGCATTTAAGGATAATGACAATTTCATCAAGGGCATCCGCCACACATTTATGGATAATGACAATTTCATCAAGGGCATCCGCCACACATTTATGGATAATGACAATTTCATCAAGGGCATCCGTAATGAATTTTGTTTTCCAACAAATTTTCATTTTAAAAACCACACATTGCAAATAGATCAATATGACCAGGAATCAAGATTTTTAATTTTGTCCCCAGTTTCCATGAGCTGACACTTTTATGCATTATAACCTCTAACCGTGAGATGGGTTAAAGCAGCGTGTGCTTATAAAGGTTATTTACTATATGGGCTTGGTGGATAAATAGTTTGTTTTTTTTTAAAATCACCTTTGTGTCTTTTAAGTCATCAGTGGCGTAGCTAGGGGAGGGGGAGGGGGGGTCCAAATTCGAAAGTCCCCCCGGGCCCCTACTTGAAGGGGGCCCACAAAAGGAGTGTCCGAAATTTTTTTTTACATTAAATAATGTTGAATGTCAAAATGGAGGGGCCCCTAAAGAGGCCAAGCCCCCCGGGCCCCCAAATCCCTAGCTAAGCCCCTGTAAGTCATACTTTTCAATTAAGTTGATACATGTTAAAACATGTGATAATTTAATGCTTACATCTTACATTATCATTATTATTGTCAGCAACAACAGATCGCATTACACAAAATCTGTTTTCAAAGGTGTTTGTTCGCAAAACTCAATATGCCTTGTAAATACTTACTACAAATTGAGAAGTTATGATTGTAGGACGAGAGTTCCTCGACCTCTGATCTCTCTTGAAAATATCCTCCAAGATCATTTCATCATGATGGTCGTGACACACAAAAGAACTGACCAGACTTTTAAGACATGATTCAACTGCTAAGGCCCACTTGTGATCAACCAGATCAAAGCAGGCACCTGGAATATTAGCAAATGTTTCTAGGTTTCTCAATTTATCCTGAATTTAATCCCACAAATTTATGTTTAAAAACTTCATTATTCTATAAATATTCTAATCACACATACAAGAAGTTAAGATCAAAGTCAAAGGGTAATTGTACACAAACCCATACCAAAAAAAGTTTCTTCTTACAACATAAAATTCATTACATTATTTATCGTAGGAGTCCAGGAACTTCTTCAATTATATTTAGCTAAATATGCCCAGCATGACCTGTGTGCATAAAGAAAATTGTACATTTGCACTGACGCCAGCTAGATGGCCCCCCTTATTAGTATCGCGATTATTTTAAAAAAATTCTACATATTTTTGCAAATAATGTTATCTCTATCTAACTAATGTAACTCTATCTAAATTATGAACCTCTCTCTAAATATATGCCGCTATGTACCTCTAACTTATGTACATCTAACTTATGAACCTCTCTCTAACTTATGTACCTCTCTCTAACTTATGTACCCCTAACTTATGTACCTCTCTCTAACTTATGTACCCCTAACTTATGTACCTCTCTCTAACTGATGTAACCCTAACTTATGTACCTCTCTCTAACTTATGTACCACTAACTTATGTACCCTTAACTTATGTACCTCTCTCTAACTTATGTACCCCTAACTAATGTACCTCTCTCTAACCTATGTACAGTTATTTAGCTTATTAACCTCTATCTAGCTTATTTACCTCTCTCTAACTTATGTACAGCTATTTAGCTTATTAACCCATTCTAGCTTATGTACCTGTCTAACTTATGTACCTCTACCTAGATTTCCTTTTTTTTTTCTTTAAAAAATGGATGAATAATAACTTTTAAAAAATATTTAAAAATCCAAAATATCTCTAATGCCAGTGGTTGAAAAAAATATCTCTTTAAAAAAAAGAAAGCAAAATAATTATTTACCCAAAGGTCCTTTTGGCATTTTGTGGAATTGTGACTTTTTGGATTCAATGGATTTAATGATTCCAGGCATCCACTCCCCAAACCTCTGTAACCTATCGGATTTTGCAGCCTCAAGTCTGTGACAGGTTGAGCGCACATCCCTCAATTTAGTCTGCTTCATTTTCAGTTGTCCACTGTGAAGAAATCAAGTAAATAATGAAAAGCCTCAGTTCAGTGCAAACCTTCTCATTCAACAGTTTACTTTCAGTCAAACCTTCTTGTTCAGTAGTTAAGTTTAAATCAAACCTCCTCATTCAACAGTTAACTTTCTGTCAAACCTTCTCGTTTAACACTTAACTTTCAGTCCAACTTTCTTGTTCAACAGTTAACTTTGGGAAAACTTTCTGAGATCAATATCATTGGTTTACTGATGCTACAGATAATTATAAGTGTTTCTGTTGAAATATTTAGCTTCTAAAACGTTTTCTTTGTCTTTTATTTTAGTACTTGTATTTTATCCCTGTTAAAGTTTTTATTATTTAATGCTTCAATTTTTAATTAAAAGAAATACTTAGATTTAAAGAGGGACGCAACTATGGTCTCTTCCTTACTCCAGATTCAACAACTCAGATTTGCTTTTGGCCACAGCACTCCTATACTGCTCCATATCATGTCCCATGACTTTCTTTTCAGACTCGATTTTTTCCAACTTTCCTTTCAGTTGTTTGATTTGATCCAATCTCTGTTGTCTTTCAGCTTCATAGTCGTGAGAAGCCCTGACAGAAAATTAACAAAACTCCATAGCTCAGCAAAATCAAATTTTGAACAATTTTGTCAATTAAGGTAACGGTTGATGAATGTTAGCTCTGTAACCATTCTGTTAACAATATGGACTAAACAAACTATTTCTTAATTTTCTATTAACTATTTCTTAGATTTCCATGACCAAACCACATATATTCGAAACACCCTCCTTATTTTCAAAGCATTTTTAAGGCTTTCAAGATAATTCTTCATACAAATTAGTTTATAAAATCCTTTGGAGGCAGTTAACATTTTAAAATTTGAAGAAAATAAAATAAAAATTCTTACAAAGTCTTGAGTTCCAAAATTCTGTCATGGCACTGCTTCCGCTCTTGTTGAGCCACATGAAGTTCTTTGTCAAATGCTTTAAGTTTATTCTACATTTGTCAAGGAAGAGAGGATTTTACCCATGGTGAAAATAAAGTGAGAAATGTAATCATTAGAATTAGAGGTCAAATGCAGTGGATTAAAATTTTAATTAAGAAAAATATTTGTATATCCAACATTGATGTTTACATTTATTGGAACAATCAACTCCTTGGCCTGCTGCATCTCTTTTTTCTTCTGCTGAAGCAAGGGCTCCAACTCTTGTACATCATTGGCACAAGCCATCAGACGCTGTTCTAAGTCTCTTTGCTGTTCCTGCCATTCTTCTTGTTTTCCCTACAACAGAGGTTTATTTTTTGTTAACGTTATTTTTAAGTTTGTGTGGTTTCAATAATAAGACAATGTGAGAGAAATTACAAACTCTTAAAGGAGCAATTTTTTACAATTTTTACTATTTTACCAAAATTGTTTCTGTTAAATTTTGTACCATGCACATACCAACTACACTCAGGGCTCCCACTCTTTTTTAAAAACAAAATTCCCAACTTTTTCACAACTAAAAACAAAAAAATTCCTGACTATCGCAACGCAGCGTTTTTGTTGGAAATATAAAAACAACCATGAATTTGTCAAAGTAAAGCAACAATGAAATACAACATATGTGAACAAAAATTAAGCAACAAAGGTGTATACATGTAAATGTTTATTAAATTTTCTAGGCATTACAAGTGTTCTATTTACTACGACATGAAAAATTGTTGATGTTTACTTTGAAAGTACAAGGGAAACTGCTGCAATTTGTTCTTCGGAGCATTTTAGAACATATGTATAGCTACCACACGTTGAAAGCATCTTTTTTTATAAGGAGCTGATGTTTTCTTCTTGTGATGAAAATGAATAATTTGAGTTAACACACTAAGTGTCTATAAAATCTCTCCATCCAGGGTTTCATATTTTGACACATAAATTGGGAGCTTGACTGAGAAATTGCAGAAATGGACACCTAAGACAGGTGACAAAGCTGAAGTTGAACTAGATAGATTAAGTCTCAGCAGATGATTGACATTTTAAAAAAATTTCCACAAGAATACTTCATATCAATATTTCCATCATAGTGTAGCAGTGATGACTTGTTTAATTATTATCATGATTGCTTTCTGACCATCAGTCTTTAAAAGAACTGTTGAGAATTATTTTATTGAGCCTAGATCCTGAACAGTGAAGCAAAATAAAATATTTTATCATATTAGGTTTATAATTTATAGTGAGGCATACATCATATAGACTATAATATAACAATACTAAACTACTGCTGCCTGTTAAGGACTTGAATGCATATTGTGATTGCGTGTTGCTTGGAGAATATTTGGGTAGATTGTTATTAAATGTTTGATATTTTGTGACGTATTGTGAGAAAGGGGAAATGACGCATTATTATTTTTGGGGAATGTCATCTTTAAGTACAGAAATTGAAGCTGACGATTTAGTTTGTTAATAAATATATTTTATTATAATAATATTTAGTTTGTGCAATTACTAAAACCCCTAGACAGAACGTAGCGATCGGACCTTAAGGTAAGAACTGGGTTCCTAACAGTACCGGTACGGTAATATACAGTCAGAAGAGATACTAAGATAGGTATATCACATATGAAACGGCATAATCAGGATTTTCCGCAGGCCTATTGTCTCCAAAGTTGACACCCCCCACCAAAAAAAACAAAAAACGACCCTTTCCGTATGCCACAGTGCCTATGTATAAAATGGTAATAATACTGTAAAGTAAAAAGTATATAGTATACCCAGAGCACGAGAGTGCATAACTATAAATAAAGACTAACTATATACAGTTATGTCAGGCTCACTGAATGGGTGTATCAAATCAATTTGCAAATAGCGTCAAACTTGTAAACTACGCTACGAAAAAATAATATATCAAAATAACTTAATCATATTAGCCTATATAAATTTAGAAGGCCTAGCTTTAATTAAAAATACATGTCGATGTTTTTTGTTATAGATAAATTGATAAAGGCCTACATTTAAAAATCAAACTCCTCAACTTTGGTCATGGGGTAGAACTAACACTAATAACAAAAGCTTCGATTATTACTGTTATTGAATGCTAATTCGAATTATGTATAACAGTGTTATTCTTAAATTATGCATACCTACAGTAGAACCGTTAAAAATCAATTTATTAAGACGAAGACATAAAGCAGGCTAAGCTTAGACATTTTAGACAGCGCTTAGGCGAGTATTTTTCTATTTATAATGGTTACATCACAATTAAAATATAGATTAAAATATTTATTTACTATATTTTACACTTTACTTACCCAAAAATCTCTTGGTCGGCGAACTGAACAGAAAAGACATATTTCTGGTCTATCAAAGTAGTACGGTATGAATAAAAGTTTCGATCAAAATGCATGCGCAGTTAACTCTCAAAAGACTGTAGATTTTTCCATTTTTTAATGACCTTGAATATATCTTATTCTTCAAAGTGTCTCGTGACTGTAATTTTGTAGCTACCTCCAAGTATTATATATCATTTTAAAGGTAATTGGATGCTCTTTAATTGATACTTGGTGTTTGTTCAAAATATCCTTGCTAAATTTGATGTTTTATTATTTTTAGGCAAAAAAAATTTTTTTTTAAGTCGACAAAAACATAACATCACAGTTTTAAAAAGAAGGAAAAAAAAAGTGTTTCCAATTAAATCAATAAAATTGATAATTTATTAGAATGTGTTCAATCCTATAAAACATATTCAAATTTCAAAAGAATAGACTCATAAATAAAAAAGTTATGACTATTTGTAGGCAACAGATCATTCAAGGAAATATTGCTCAAAAAGTCAAAATTATTTTTAAAAAATAATAATAATTTTTTTTTTCAAAGGAAAACATATACTGCATCATATTATCCTTTAGAGGGTTATTAGTAAGTATTATTTGAGAAGAAAAGTTAAGAAAAAAAGCACATTTTAATAAATAAACATTTTTTATGCATCCCCGAGATACCGATCAAAGGATATAATCCTTCGCCAAGACCATGCATAAAAATTCTTGAAAACAATTTCTTTATTTATTAAAACATAAAAATGTATCAAAAACAAAGCCTGTGACATATGCTCTGACCATTTTACCCTGTTTTGGTAACCCACAATTACATTTTTTGTTATTGTCATGTTGCGGCGCACGATGTAAAGATTTCGGGCTTTACAGTATCAGGTTTATCATCAAATATGTCAATTGTTCCCTAAATTGTTCATTAATTGCTACATTTTCTTGATGCTGATACAGTTGATTGTATTTTGCATTGAGATACAGAAGTGTCTCCCAATTGTACACAGCATGTTTCCTTTATTTTCAGTATCAGAAACTTTTAGGAAACTCAATATAGCCTTGAATATGTCCTTAGTACTAATGGCCTTGCTCATTGTCCATCATAAAAGGATTTCCTGGACATTTCTTGTAAAATTAAGAGCTTGATAAGTCCTGCATTCATAATAAATCCACTTAGTAGATAAAACTCCCCTTCAATGATGTTATAATGGTACCAATTTTTGAAAACACAAAAGTTCTGCGGTCCATTGTCCTGCGCACAAGGCTTACTAATAACCAACCAAATCTGTAGTAAAGTAGAGGTTGAAAATGTCAATTTGCTTTTAAAATCTCCTTATATCCTCTCTTGTTATAACATCAGGAAGCAATAGTGCTTTTCACCTCTGGTCTAAATGCAGCAAAGAGTCCCACAGTCTTTTGTCATCATAACCCATTGTATTGACTATGTTTGACATCTGCCCTTCATAGATGCTGTCAAAATATAAAAAAAAAAATAATTTAGCTAAAATTAAAAAAATACAATATAAATAAAAAGAAATCAAAATAATAAACAATCTGCCTAAATTACTTTTACTTCAAGTTTTCATTGAAAAGGGAACACAGCTGATTGTTACAGTGTAATAATAGCAATGGCCTTGAGAACCATTGTTTACATTTTGCTAACTGAAACGTAATAATATTAAAATAATTGTATAACTACAAATTAGTTTCAAACAAATAAATAATTTAATCTATTTAAGAATTTTATACTACTGGAACTTGAATAAAACTAATGTTAGGGCTAATAATAGTGCTAAGAAGTATCACAGTATGCGTGAGTTGAGTATGAATGAAAAAAGTAAACAAACCTTGGATGCTATTATTATGATGATAATTTACACAATTCTCGGTATCAGACACATCTGAAGTGCTATCTTCATCAAAAATATTCCTCTAAGTAAGAATAGTTGTCCATTTCAAGCTTATAATCAGAATCAGATTCCATAGCAATGTTTTAGAGTGTAGTAACAGTGAACCGGAATTGTGGCAAAATATGAGTAAATGGCGAAAAGGAAAATTTATGAATGGACAAGTTGCTACCAGATTTCTTCAAGAACTAGTAAAATAAACGATTTTTCTTTCTTGCCAAATAGAAATTTAACATTCCAAAATAGTAAATCTTTATTTTCGCCTTTTAATATTATTTTTATATATATATTAGGGGTCCTTTTTTTCACCCGCCATATATGACCGATTTTTCAATCTCCCGTCTTTTGAGAGTTAAGGGAAAACCACTAAGCATTATGGCAAAGTCCCTTTGATAACAGATAGGTTTAAAATAGAGGAGTTCTGCGAATAACGTCAATTTTCATGGAATCCTAATTTATTATTATTTTTTTAACATTTTAAAACTTCCTGACTAGCCCGGAAAATTTCCTTACTAGACTCCCCAGTTTTCACGACCCGGAAAATTATTTAACAAATTCCCGACTATTTCCCAACTGCTTGGGGACCCTGTACACTGTCAACTTTCTTTTTTATTTTATCAATATTTATATTTTGCATGCTGTTACTAAACCAAGACCTTACTTTAGCTTGTTCTAACTTCTGTATATATCTGGGGAGAGCAGCTTCTTCAGACTGGCAATTTTTTTCCAAAGGTTTAAGACCCTGTATTAAGATAAATGAGAATAATTATTAAAGAAAATCATGTGGCACATGTAGGAAATGTTATATTTACTAGAACTGGATAAAACTTGTGTTTATTACTTTTCAAAGTATTCATTGCTTTATTTAATGGACCAGAACTTCCCAATGACTTCTTCTGTAATATTAATAAGTTACAGACATACTCACATTTTCTTTTAGGTAATAACTAACAGATAAACTCATCCTGTCTTAGATAATAACTAATTGACAAACTCACCTTATTGTTTTAGGTAATAGCTAACAGACAAACTAATCCTTTTTAAGGTAATAACTAACAGACAAACTCAAATTTTCATTAAGCTAATAACTAGCAGACAAACCCACCCTTTCTTTCTCTGCTACCAGAGACCAGGCCAACTCCTCCTTCAATGATTTAATTTTATCCTTAAGACCTGAGAGTGCCATGAGATTCTTGAACTTGTTCTCCCAAACCTTGACCTCTTTCTTCATTTCAGGCAGAACCTAAATTAGATCAGTTGAATTGAAACTGATGAATGTGGTAGAAATTGAGACTTCTGATTTCATAATAACTATAGGCTGTCATCCAGGATCTCTAAGTAATTGGGAAGGAAATAGAACATGACACTGACCAAATTTTCTTTGGTCAACAATAGTGTTTTTTTAACTAAAATAAATAGCATCTAGCTCCATTTTAAAACATGTCAATTAGATAAAGGCGTAACCATATTTTAAAATTTATAGATCAAATGCCTCTAATTTGGTCATGGAGTAGAACTACGGTTAATACCCAAAGCTTCAATCATTGCTCATTCGAATTAGGGATAGTATTTTTAAATTAGGCCTAAACTTTATAAATCAACTTTAAAAAAGTATGCTCAGCTTAAATGGCTTAGTCATTTTATACAGAGATCAGACGCATAATTTTCTATTCATAACAGTTACCAGACTATTAAAAACCTACATTTAAATATCCATTTTCTGTATTTTAAACTTAAATTACTAAAAAAATCTGTTGAACTATGACCTGAACAGAAAAATCTTTCTAGTCTTTCAAAGCAGTATGGTACAAAATTTCAGATTCAAACTTGTAAATTCCAGTTAAGGGGAAACCACTAGCATTGTTTCAAAATCCTTTTGATAACAGAGGGGCTACAAATAGACGCCATTGGCAAGTAACGTTTATTGTCATTGAATAAAAAAAAAAAATTCAAATAAAAATGTTAACTATTGTGACCATGACTTTTTTACCCCACCCCCCCCCCACTAAACAACTAACATTGTTTCAAAATCCTTTAGATAACAGAGGGGCTACAAAAAAACGCCATTGGCAAATAACGTTTATTGTCATTGAAAAAAAAAAAAAAATTCAAATAAAAATGTTAACTATTGTGACCATGACTTTTTTACCCCACCCCCCCCCCACCCCCCCTCAGCAAAATAAAATATTTCAGGACATTTAAGGAGAAATTTTATCATTTAAGAATTTTTACAGAATTTTTCAATCTTTTTTCGAATTTTAGGAAATTTCCAGGACATTTCAGGAAGCAGTGGGAACCTTGTAAGTTACAGCACAGCTAGTGGAAAAGTGTAATCCTCGAAAGATACAAATATTAATCTACACACATACAAAGATAACAATCTTGTAAGACTACTATATAACGTCTCATAAATGTCTAGGGAAAATCTAGCAAAATATCTCTCGGCTGGGAAAACTGTTGGTTGATTTATAGGGAAGGAGTTGAAAGCTTCAGAAAGAAATTCTAGAAGTTGCATAACCCAATATCAGTTAGAACAAATTATAACATAAAAACCTTTTCATAATCAAGGGCGGGGAGGGTGTGGTAATGCGCTACACCTTTAATCGCTGATATCAATATCAAATATTTAAAATGGGAGAGACAAGTGGATGAAGCAAAAATTAGGTCAACACACAGGCTATAACAAAACTTTCTGAGGGAAATTTAAATACCCACAACCAATAAGCACTCTCTACAGCCAATCCCTTTAGTATCTTGAAAATGGGTACATTTATATAAGTATACCCATGAATATCAAAACCCAATCATTTTACACACTTGAAAAATTAATTTTGAAAAATAGAGATGGGTTAATATTTACTTTCCAAAAAATGAAAATATGTTGTTTTTTTTCACTTTGCAAAAAGTAAAGAGGTGTGTATTTTTATGAGATTAACAATTTAAATTTTTTTAAAAAGACACTCAAGTCTGTTATAGGTGTGAAAAACAGTTGCGAGAATCTTCTTTAAATAAAAGAATTCTTTGTTTTACGATTTTCTGATCATGTAAAATTTTTAAAAAAAGCAAAAGTGTGTTTACATTTTTGATGAAGATATCAATATATCAAATTCCTGTAATATTAAATACTAATATTTATATCATATTTTAATGGGGGTTTTTCTCCAATTTTTAGAGAAAAAAATCTGTAAATCAAGGGCACGAAAAGGGGTAAATCTAAATTATTTCTCTAGCGTAGAAATCGTGCTTCGTTTAACTTCTTTAGTGACAAAAGTGATATAATTAGTGATAATATAGACTGGGTAATTTAAGGTCATGTTTAGATGGAAAAAAGTAACTTAGGGGCATGAAAGGGAGTATGGTAGGCGTATAATATATAGCAGATAAATATTTCTCAAAACTTAATGATGTTTGAAACGTAAATATTATTACTAAATAGATACTTCTTTTTAAGGTAAGGAATTGTGATGAGTTTTTGCAAAAGCAGGTAGAAATTATCGCAATAGACCTACCATTATTATCCCAAAATCATTGGGTCCTTTATTCTAGTTATATATAAAACTGTAATCAGACCGGTAGTAATATATGCCAGTAAAACTTGGACCCTTGCAAAAACAGCAGAAAAACTAATAAACACATGGGAGAGCAAAGTCAAAAGTTATCCTGAAAATACACAAACCAACCTGGACTTGTATGGACTAACCAGGATACCATGCTAGTAGCAGAAATAAAAAGGGAAAGGCTGCACTGTGCAAGACACTTAGAAAGAATACCAAATGACAGATGAGTGAGGAGGGTGCACCACCAAAACTCCAGAGGAAAACATTTCAGAGGCAGACCTAGACTTAGATGGGTAGATGATGTGGAAAAAGATCTACAGCAGCTGGGAGTCTAAGGATGAAAAAGAAAATCATCAGTTACGTCTGAATGGAAGGAAGTGGTGAGGCCCGACATGGCCTGTAGTGCCACAGGGATGGATGGAGTTACAACTTTTTTACCTGTTCTTTGACAACCATCAATTGTTTGGTTTCATTCTTGTTTGCCTTGACCTTGTCATAGTCTGAGTTCATTTGTTCTAGTTGAGTGGCTTTCATGAAGAACTGGAACAAATGTGGGTTTTTTATTTATGTCATCATATTTCTTTCATGAATTTCTAAAATCCCCATATATTTTTTAATATTGTAAAAAGGGCAACATTCAATGACCTTAAAACTGGTGGTGTGATTACTCACCTTGAATTTATCTCCTGCTGACCTGGAATTAAGAAAGTTTCGACTGGTGTCCTGATTTAGAATGACCACTGGGTTGTCAACCTGTATGTTGAGGTGATCTTTAATACGTTGTAGTTCTTCATGTCTAGCACAGACGTGTTGGCCTAAAATAGGATGACATGATTATGGAACCATGTTTTAAGTAGAACAGTAGATAAATAATAACACAACTTCTATAATTTATTCTTAACAATGTATTTATAGGAAAAACAATTTTTGAATCATTTAATTGCTAAGGTTCTAAAATTAATGGTTCTAACAATCCCTCTAACTTGCTTTTGTTTCATTGATCATAGACTAAAGTAATGCTCAAAAGGTATTTTTAAAATAAATTTTTGTTTAAAGTTACAAATGTTCACCTGATGCTGTACATATAGCATAGGTACTGCCTCCATCAATAGAGAATTTTCTCCTTACTATGATCTTGTCTCCATATATGTGATGCTTGAAACTATCTCTACCTCTGTTGTTTAGAATCACTTCAATAAAGGCAGTTCTAAAGAAAACATTGTTAAAAATGAGGGCATTATCATTGTAATTTTTCTTTTAAATTATAACTGATGAAATGGTAAAATTGTATACCCATAGTGTGCCACATTGATTCTGAATCAAGGTGAAAAGTTGATTCTTTCATAGTGAAAATTTTAAAAAATCTTTTTTTAAAGTGGCATTTTGTTGTTGTCAATATTTATTTGAGAGATCTTCCAACCCACCTTTTACCACTTTTAATGAAGTTCTTAATAGAAGTGCCTCGACTAGTAACAGAGGCTTTTCCTCCAAGTCCAACAACCAGTGCAGTCACTATAGCACTTTTGCCACCTTGATTACGATAAGAAAATTTGATGTATTTTAGTTTATTCTGTTCCAAATGGGAATGCACAAAACGGGGTAAAATTAGCTAGATTTTTAATTAATAAATATAACTTAGTCAGAATCTTATTTGTATAAGCAGAGGACAGAAATTATGCAATAAACTAAGACTCACTCCCATTCCTGCCTACAACAAAGTTTACATGACTTCCAGGAACAACTTCCAAATGATTGTGGCACATGAAATTGTTGAGGGTAATCTGTTGAATGATTCCCACCACTGGTTTATGCTGAAGTAGAAATGTTATGAATACAGATATTTTTTTTTTTGTTTTCTAAAAACCCAAAGGTTGTGCATAAATTGTATTGATAAGGTTTGGTAGTTGTTGATTTAAACTCTGAAATGGATTGGCTTTCACCTGTCGACTTAATAACACGGGCTAGTAATATAAACTGGGATTTACTTTCACATGTTGACTAAATAAAAAGAGACAGAAATATAACCTGGGATTGAATTTCACCTGTAGACTAATAAAAATATAATTATAGATTGGATTTCACCAATATACTAAATAAATAGTTATGTAGTCTTGGAATGGGCATATATACCGATACTAAAGATGTGATAGAATGTAACAAATTACAGTTACACTTTGATGACCATTTCATCTGTGTATTTTGTGTTCATTGTCCATAAAAACCCTAGACAAACCTCATTTTAGCCACAAACTAAGTTTTGGCACAAATTTTAAAAGTCAATCAGGATGCCTATATGGCTAAATTTGATTGATTGCTAGAAATGTCAAACAAACATTAACAATTAAACACAATAATCAAATTTCTACCAATTTTCTACTTTACCTCTGAAAGAAGTTGTAAGCCTAGGGGATCAGCTATGGAACTCTGCAGAAAAAGAAAATTAAGTTAAATACCGTTTTATTTGCAATTAATTCAAACAATAAAAATGTGCCCAAAAATGTCCCTAATATTAAATTATGTTATTTCCTTTTCCATTAGAGCAGGTCTGCACAACATAATGCTGGTTGGCCACATCTGAATGCATAAAAATCATATAAATAAAAATTATAATCCTTAATTTGGTTTTTATATCATTATAAAAGTAATATATATGAAATGAATAGCTTATAAATATTCATTTCATTTAAACGATAAATTATTATTCATTATTTGTAAATATCTCTCATAAAATTAATTAGGTCAACATAATTTTTTTTTATATATCTTTATAAATATTATCCAGAATAGCTACCATATTTTCTTACAGCAGTCTTCTAGTCACTATTTGAGCTGTGCAGGCCTGCATTACTGATTTGGAATATTCATTACCTCAATAACATCTGTATCTTCATTTTCATCGTCATCCTCAGAATCTTCCGAGGATGCAACATGACTCTTATATCGTTTGCCTTCAACTTCAGGGGTGGCAACCTCTTTAGCACTCCAGACTCTTTTCTGCATTCTTCACTTTCAGCTGGAAAATAAATCATTAGAATAGAAACGACAGGTTTTATATGCGTAAGTCCACTGCAACTGTCAACGTGCACTGTTGATAAAAGCTTCAAATATCCACAATGGAGATACTGTACACTATACTTGTCTCCCCTCCCCTGAAATTATTTCGCTATTTTTTTTTTTTTGAAGTTGGAGGGGTGTTGAAATATCCAGTGAAATGGTGACATGAAAGAAAAAAAATAGCACAATTCTTTTTTCAACCAACCAAAGGAAAGCACATTTAACAATGTAAACGTCCTTTTTCCTATGTTCATCTTGGGGTATATGTTAAGATGAGTGTTATAGCCTCACTGTTGACCTAATTTTTCTTCAACGTAGCACTGTGGCGCCCACCACTTGTCTCCCCCATTTTCTGATATTATTGATATAACGAATTAAATGTGTAGCGCTGAACCATTTACCACCCGTCACTTGATTAAGAAAAGGTCGCTTACATTCAAAATTGGTCAAAATATGCTATGCTATCGAGTGATGCAATTAAAAGAATTTTTTTTCTAAAGGGTTCCAATGCCCACTCGATAAATAATACGGTAGCTTTTTCAGCCAGCAGAGAGATTTGCTTGATTTTCTAGATATTTTACATATTTACAAGACTTACCAGACTTATTAGATTTTACACTTTAGTTTGTGTGTATATTATTATTTGTATCTTTCAAGTATTATACTTTTTCACTTGCTGTGCTGCAAGTTAATATAGTTTTTATTTCTGTATATTTTATTTTGTATGGTTATATAAATTTAATAGTATAATTAAATTGAATATTGTTAGTATCCCTTCTTTTGGTATTGTTTGTCTTTGTATATTGTTCGATCCTTAGTTACACATTTTTCATGTATAGAGCCAAATCTTAAAACAGATTAAATTTGCTAAACCTTATAAAGGTAAATTACATTAATTACAATAAGTTAATTTTTTCTAACCTCTGAAACTTGTAATTTGAATTTTATTAAAAAAAACAAATGGTAATTTTCATATTAAAATATTTAATATTAACTATCAATCATTAGATTTAGTTTATGGCGTGAATATCACTCAATGAAAAACTTGAAAATTATTATACTCATACACATTATTCCAAATCAACCATTGGTTTAAGTCTATGCACTTTAAGTTCTATGTTGGGATTCCATAAAGTGAAGTCACTGCGCTTAGGGTGAAACAACCTTTGGCAAAACCCATGCCACTAACTACACTTTTACTTCAGCCAGGTCATTTATTAAACAGAAAAATAAAAATTTGAATTATCCTAAACCACTATTCAACGTAACTTGTCTTTTCAATATTATATTGATAATTGATTACAAAATGATTATTAATTGCATTAGGATAAATGTTGTTTTGCTGCCACTCACTTCCCATGAAAGCCATCTTGATTGCCATGTGGCTGTGTATAAAAAAAAATTTTAAAATAGGTAGTGCAAACACGTCTGCTAAAATGGGTAGGTTAAAGAGAGAGAATGTGCTGTTTGAGCTTAAAGTTTAACAAAATAATTTCTGCTAGCTGCTAGATATGCAGCAAGAATTCTTAACGACCTGCGGTAGCTCCCTTCCTTCAAGCAAAACATGTGTGCTACAGTTACACACATGATAAGAAAAGTTTAAAAATGAAGAGCAACAATGCAAACAAAATATTTTTAAATACGAAGTGTCTACACGTCCGGCACGCCGGATAAATAGTGCGCATGATATAAGTCCGGCGGGCATGTCACGTGACCGCCGGACGACTAGTACAAGTAGTCGTCATTATTCCGAAGGAAGTGCTCATAAGAAGATCTTGTGTGGTCTTGTGGTAGCGGCCACTCTACGTGGTAGAGTGGCCGCTTGACGATGTTATATTTGTGGATCAATTCCCAGTATGGAAACCTTTTTTTTCCCCCCATTTTAATTAAAAATATTTTATATTATATTTATATTATCATGTTCATCAGCATTAGTAGTTTTATGAGAAGTTTTTAAATATTTTGTAGCAATTTAAAATGAAATCTTTTACTTTTATTGGTTGCCTACTCCATACTGAATACTGGCCCCTAATTTATTTTATGGATTACTGGTACACTGGTACACAAACTCAAATAACAAACTAAACAAAAATGTTTACAAGCCACTTGCACCTAAGTTTTTTCCTATAATTTGCATGCAAGATACTCAGTACATTACTTGGTAGAGAAATAGATTTTAAAATTAACAATATTTTTGAATCATTCGCGGTCACGTGACAAGGCTGATGGAAAAATATATCTCGCCACTTTGTTACGGCGGTCATGTGACTTGATCGCCGTACAAATAGTGCGGGAGATATACGTCCGGCGCGCCGGGCGTGTAGACACTGCCTTTTAAATAATGTTTCATAGAATACACACACTTTATTTAATTGCAGATCCCACCAAAACAAAATCCAAAATTTTTCAGAAAAATGTGATGAGAAAAATCAATATAAAACAATACCAGCAAAATGCTGGAAAATTTCAATAAATATCATAATTAACCATCCAATTAAATATTAATTTACAACAATCCATCTGTGTATTATACTGAATTAATATTTTAAAATAGAAAAGCTAACTAGTAATAATCCGATAGAAGTGTTGCTGCCCACAGATACTACTTACCAGCTAAGTGCTATTTCTTATTATCCAATAGAAGTGTTGCTGCCCACAGATACTACTTACCAGCTAAGTGCTATTTCTTATTTTTATTTTTATACCGTTTTTTCTGTTGTTTTGTTCGCTGACGAAGGCTTTCTGCCGACACGTTCGCTGTTTTGTTGCGTTTATTTTTTCAGGTTTAACCCTACTCTGTTTTACTCATTTTATTTTGAATTTAAGATTAAGTAAAAGTAAAAGTTTAAATTTAAATTAAAAAGTACCATAAAAGTAAATTAATTAAGAGCATGGGCATGGGTATGATCTTAGTATGACTCAGTATGAGTATGATAATAATTAATAATGAGTAAGAAAGAAATTAGTAGATTAGTAAGTAAAAATAGAGTTAAATACACTTAAGAAAGTGAGTTTCAGTTAAAGCACTGACCACTACCACTACCACGAATACTAATACAAAACAAAATATTAAAATTAAATAAGTAAGAGTAAGAGTAAGAAGATTGACAAACAAATTATTCTGCTCCTTACCCTCGTAACTCAGCTTTCATAAAACTGTCATTTTAGGTTTTACTCAATGCCATAGTCTTGGAACTGCCTTAAAATGTTTCATTAACATTAGAATTAGCAATAAATTAGTAGCAAATAACTTTTTATTAGGACTAGTAAGCTTACTTGAATTTAATGTTTGGAAAGGCGGATAAAAAGTAGGATTAAACAACAATTGTTTGTTAAAAATGCTAATTTTGTTCACGGAACAACTCAAATTTGATCGTGCAGAAATATATTTGACATTGAAGAACATTCTCTGATTTAATTTCCAATCTGTTCGCATTATAAAAATACTGCATTATTATTAATATATTTTAATAAAAAATTATATGAAAAGTTTTAGCTATTAATATACATTATACATCATAAATACATAAATCTCATAGCAGCCTTGGACCCCTGGTATCTTTTACTTTTTATCTATTTATTTAAAAAGAGTGCATTATAAGTAGTAGCCAGTAGCTCTTAAAGCTTATATAAGTTATATGTAGGCAGTTTACTCGGTCGAGCTGAAAATGCCGACCTCGATATAAAGAAAAAATTGCCACCCATCCACATTCCCTTCCTACCGCTACGTCACTGGATATGGTCGTAATATTTATATTTGATTTTATATTAATAGACCTCTTTATAAGGATCATTTAATAATTTTAAGTTTTGGCGACCCCCTGAGGCTGGCGCCTGGCAGTGCTCCCCCCTCCCCCGGATAAAGTCAAGTGAAAGTGCCACTCCCACCCCCTGGAGAAAAAAATGTGTACACCAATAGTAAATAGAGCGAATATAATATAATCTATTTAAACGAAACTACCAAATTGTCATTTGTATAATTCTTCTAATAAAATTATTGAAATAGTGGAACCAATGAAATATCGCCACGCTCAATATATTTGATGCCCGGTTAATTTAAAAGCAAATTATCTAGATACCTGTATTGCAGGCCTACACAACATACGACCCGCGGGCCACATGCGGCCTGCCAGCAACCATTTTGCGGTCCGCGAATTAATGAAATATTATTTATTATTATTTTCTTAATAGCTTTGTTTCCTGTCCTATTATCTTTCGGCCCGCACAAGTTTTTAAGGCCGACCTAACATTATAAGTTGTGCAGGCCTGCTGTATTGTGTAGCAGTGGTTCTCGCAGTTTTTAGGGATTTCTTGCGTGATGGTCTCTTTACAATTTTTTAGATAGCCTGCGGACCCTTAAAACTTAAGTACAATTCACATGATGTTTTGGCATAACATTTTTGACAAACAATTATTGCTATTAAAAAATGTCAAATCTTAATCATCAAATGTATTTTCAATGGGGAGGGTGCATCTGCTTTAACTGAACCAGTTCGTCTAAGTTTGACTTTGTTTTGGCCAGTGCAACTCTCATGTCATTTGTAGCATCTAATCTGTTTCAGGATTTCATTTTGATATCTAGTAGAGCTATTTTGGAAAAAAAAAGCCGTGTTACACTCAAAAGGGGTTGAAAATGGAATCAGCACTCTTAGGGCCATCTTTGCAAAATCGGGATAGGACTGTGTCATTTCAATACAAAAATATGTTTTAAGTGACATGTGTTTTATGTCACCGGAAACATATTTTGCACCTCCATCACTTATCAAATCAATCAACTGTTCTTGAATTAAATTGTCCTCCGAAGGCAGATCACAATTTTAAAAAAATACTATTTATTGAAAACTTGAAATATATTATTTGTATAAACATATCAGGGTCAATTTTGTTCGTTTAACGGCAGAGTGATGCAAAACTAAATTTAGGTATGTGCTAAAATGAAGCACAGCATTTTAATTTCAACTAAAATTTTGGGGGAAGGGCTCAGTTGCCCCCCTCCCCAGACCCCCTCCTACGCATTCGTACGGGAGCCCTCGATTTATGTCTTTAACCCCCCCCCCACGCATCGATCTATTAGACAGTAAGTGGGGTATCTAATTTAGGGCAAAACGAATACCCTGGGGTGCCCCACAACCACAGTAAATTCGGGCTATGTCTGCCAAAATGCCAAATGTGCCCGTTGATAGATGCCCTGCCCCCCCCCCCCTCCGTCTTCACGTCTAAACTATCACCTCCCTAGATCAAATTGTCTGGTTTTAACTCAGTGAAAGAAACAGTGATTATCAGGACTAAATGCACCCAGTGATTTCTAATGTATCCAAAGATTTCTGGGGAAGGGTTTAATCGATTTTCGCTCGCTGATCCTCGTTGACCAGGGGCGTAGGTAGGGTAAATGCCACCCTGGGCGGACCAAAACCTTTTCCACTCCCTTCCACAATAAAGAATCGTCCACAAGAGTAAAAAGGGGCCCTCGGGGCAGACCACCATTTCTGCCGACCCTTCCTACCCCACAAGACTGCCCACTCGAACATCGGAAATGCCCCCCCCCCCTTCCTTTTTTTTTCTTCCTAGAGCGAAATGTCTGAAAGAAACATGCTGGCCACAAGATGGGAGTAAAAAAGAGCAGGGTGCCATAAGAACAGCACGCCACAAGGGCGTCTAGTGTGATCTTCCTTAAGATCAGTGGTGTAGCCTAAGTTTTGGCGCCCGATTAAGCGGCGTTCACTTCGGAAAAACATAACAATAAACTCGTATGTTAATTCCCTTTATATATTCTTTTTTTTTTTTTTAAATTAACTGCAAACTATGAAGGACTATTTCACGTAAATGTCTCGTATTTATATTAATGATTGCCATCGTTGTATATGCTCAATTGTTTCCTGCACACGGGGCCGAAGCCAAAGTTGATCAATGTTTGAAAATTTAAAATTCGTAGCTGAATAAGATCTAGAATTTATGCCAATCCTCAGAATAGGTCTACAATTTTTCACACGCTCTCTGTGTCCATGACATCCTGTGAGAGGATCTTTTCAAAAACTGAAATTTTATACAGAAATACAGTATGCGCCAAAAGTAACAGTGATGAAACTCACGCGACTTGAACACTTAATTGCGTTTGTTAACGGTGCATCGCTCAAACAATAACATATTCGTGTCATTGAAAAGGAAGGTATTGGGAGCCTTTCTAGTTTGAAAATGGTCTCTAGGCACAAGTAAAAGTATTCATAGATGACCATTATTTTGATCATGCGTAATTAAAATTGGTTATGAATGGGGATCAAGTTTTTTAAAAAAAGTTGGCAGAGCAATTCCGAGAGAGTTTTACATAGTCGGCATAATGTAACGCGGTTGTGCTGTGCAATAAATGAAGGCCTGCGTTCAAGCTGTGTGAAGGATACAGTAGAACAAGGTATGTGCATGCTTGAATCAAACGACAGGACAATAAGAACTTAAATAAGTTAAGAACGTTCTACTAGGCCAGTGGTCGGCAAACTCATTAGTCAAAAGAGCCAAAAATCAGCAGCAGGACGATTGCAAAATTTTTGAGGGCCAAATTTTTTTTTCCAAGAACCTGCCAAGAACCATGTTTTTCAGAGTCAAACCCGATTTATGGCCGAGTCGCCCTCAGGTTGTTAGAGCCGCGATTTTCCGATCACTGTCCTATGATATATGCTGGCCGTTTCGCCGTTCTGGAAAGGTACTCTGTCAGAGGGGAGTTGGAAATTTGATAAATCGTAGGTGAAGGTGACTTTCTTCGGAGACTACACGTTCCTATAAAAACTTTATCATCGTACACCGTGGGCAGAATTGTTCAACAATTCATCATCAAATCACCCCGTCAAGCGTTGTCCAACCTATATCCGGTACGCCAATGTACCAATGTTCTTATGTCGCTTATGTTCACTTAAGGATCTCCATCTTAGACAATGTAGCAGCAAATGCGGCACTTTCATTTGTTTTGTTTTTCCCTTTCCCACATTAATTTTGTTACCTGGAGATACTCATAAGACGACGAGAAAAAAGGGGGTGGGGGTCATTTTCGCCTCCCCTCTGTAGATGCCCCCTGTTAAAGAGAAATGTGAAGTCGAGCATAATTAATACCAACTACTAAGAGGGCTGAGGTCAAGGACCTTCTGGCTGGCATCTTGCTATCAAACAAGACCCTTCTGGCTGGCATCTTGCTATCAAACAAGACCCTTCTGGCTGGCATCTTGCTATTAAACAAGACCTTTCTGGCTGGCATCTTGCTATCAAACAAGACCCTTCTGGCTGGCACCTTGCTATCAAACAAGACCCCTCTGGCTGGCACCTTGCTATCAAACAAGACCCTTCTGACTGGCATCTTGCTATCAAACAAGACCCTTCTGACTGGCATCTTGCTATCAAACGAGACCCTTCTGACAGGCACCTTGCTATCAAACAAGACCCTTCTGACTGGCATATTGGTATCAAACAAGACCCTTCTGGCTGGCATATTGGTATCAAACGAGACCCTTCTGACTGGCACCTTGCTATCAAACAAGACCCTTCTGACTGGCATATTGGTATCAAACAAGACCCTTCTGGCTGGCATCTTTCAATCATGTCACATGGGGTGGGAGTTTAACAATTCTGCCAAAATAGTGTGCCCTTGTTTATGGATGGCCATGACACAGAGTATTCTGGTCATTGAGTATAATATGTGGACACAGAGCATATGTGGAAACAGGGCATATGTGGACACAGGGCATATGTGGACACTGAGCATATGTGGACACTGTATCAGTGGACGCTGTGTATATGTGGACACTGAGTATATGTGGACAAGTGTCACAACCATTTGCCACCTCAAATTTAAAGATAACAAATAAATGTAGCTTGATGAGATTCAATTTGTGTTTCTTTTTTTTTTTTTTACATATTTTATTGCAAACTAATTTAAACTAATATTATTAATATTGATTGAAAGTTACAAACACAACAGTCAATAAGTTCTAAGTAGTATGTTTTGATTAGCCACACATAGTGTTTTATGTAACTTAGGATGATATTTTTCCTGGCAATGTCGGACAATAAACAAAAAGTACATTCCATATACCGATAGTACAGTTTCTTCTCAAATAAAATATGAAAATTCAAAACAAAATTATAAATATGTACACGTCAAAATGTGGTGATGCCCTTTCAGGCTTTACAGATCCAATATTACATTAGCTAATTAGCATTTAGTTACAGATCAAATATCATTTGAGATTACAACTTTCAAGTAAAAATATCATATACATGAGATCATTGAGGGGGTATATTCATAATATTACACAAAAAAATCAATGGAGGTCAACAGCCTTGACCTTCTTTTTCATGGAGCAAAAGCTTCTTTTCTTTAGCTGCACAAAGAATAAAACCATTCCATAAAATGTAAAAACTGAAAACTAAGCCTGTGAGTCTTGGAGGATATGCAGAATAACAACAACAAAAAACAGAATAACATATACACCAGAATAACATATAAAGTTAAAAATGGCATACAATAAAAGCTACAACTAATTTACTCCACACAAAGACTTTTACGGCTAATTAACATTGAGTTAAACCCAGCACAAAGACAACAGAAATAAAGAAAGAAATAAGATTTTTGAATTGAACAAAAGACATTGCAGAAAAACTTACAAAGTAATTTTCTCTTGCTTGTCATTAAAGAAATTTAAAAAAGTTTTAAAAACACATTTTCTAGCATTTCAATCATTTCAGACGTAATGCTGCTTGAAAATGAATCCAATTACTTGTATTTCCAGATGGTGACAATAGCATTTCCTTCACCATCCCTGTCTTCATATGGAATTTCTTGGCTGCTCACACATTTAAGTCTGCAAAGAAACATTTCCATTGACAAATACATCAGTTTTGATCCATATAAAAATGTTTTTTTATTTTCAGTGATAATTTAAGAAGAGATTGTCTTGATGTACTGAGAAATAAGGAATAAACAAATAAACGACAGGAGAATGTAGATTACTTGGAGAAATATGGCATTAGTTCACCTGAATAAACAACAGGTGAATGTATATTACTTGGATTACTTGGGGAAGTTTAAAATTACTAATGCCATTCTGCAATTTCATTTCAATGATAATAAAAACTTACTGGTAGTCAGACTATGAGTATCTTTGATTCTCTCTTATGTCCCTCACCACTCACTCCCTATCTCTCTCTTGTTATCATAATTTTTGTTCCATTGTTCTCAAAAAGCAAAACAATGGTTAATTATTTCATTTTAAAAAATTTAGTTTTCAATTATTTGTTTGAAAAGGACATAGTAAGTAAATGATTATACCTATGGTGAAGATGATGCTGAAGTCGTTCTTTGCCCCAGCTACCATCCTTAGAGGCAATGACAGCAATGCCATTGGGTTTAGTGATCTCCCAGAGACGTACCAACCAAGCTGAGAACATTGTAAAATTATAAACTTATCAAGCTGGGAACATTGTAACATTGCAGACTTACAAACCAAGCTGAGAACATTGTAACATTACAAAAATATCAACCAAGCTGAGAACATTGAAACATTAGAGAACTACCAAATTATAACCAATTGACTATAAAAATTTCAAAAATAATTAATTTTTTAACCCTAATCCGCAATTAAAATTACACTACAAATCATCTATAGAAAATATAATAAATTATTAAATCCACAGTGATGATTTGGAGTAGAATTATTGAATTACTCTTTATAATAAACAATTAGTGTCTTCATTTAATAAATGTAAAATCATTTTTCTGCTATGGAGGTAGACTAGTTGAGACACTGATGAATGGAAAAATTAAACTTTGTGTATGAGGAACATGATATATCAAAGTCTAAAAACAAGGAAAAAGAACAACTAGAAATATGACACTATTCTTTTATGCTTTTAAGAATTTATGTTAACAATTTTATCTTAGAAAAATCCAACATATTTTACAGAAATGAAACAACTAAAATGCTCAACTGTTCTCTTACTGTAAGCATTTAACTTCGTTATTTCTCTTTTAATTTTAAGTTCAGAATCAACAAATTAAAATTAAATCATGGACCAAATGTCTTATTTTTTATTCCATTTCAGAAAAAAAAATATCAGTTTTTAAATCAAAACTAGATAAGAAGCCCTATTTTATTATTGTTTTAAATACTGACCTTTTGGGTTTTGAACTCGATCCAAATGAGTAATCAAAACGAGGTCATGGCTGTCAATTTCATTAGGAACCCAGGTCAACTAAAAATAGAACATTTTTACTTTAATCTTTAACCATTCTCGAAGTACTTGATAGGTATATTAATGCATTCATTGACTCAAAATGATTATCACAGTGACCCAAATAGCACCTGTTGTATTCCCACCAATAGAAAAACTAATTGTTCTAAAGAAAATAAAGGTGTTTTTGTTTTAAGATTTAGTAAAAACATTTCAGGATATTTTTTTTTACCTGCTTGAATATAATTCTGTCCAAATTGTATTCCTCTTCCAATTTCACATCCTTGCTATTCTTCAGAGTCAAATGTCTGCCATTCTGCAATCTCATAGCAGCATCAATAAGACGTCCACACATTTCAACCCCAAGAACCTAATAAATGTAACAAAAATATAATCATAAAAAGAGCATGTAAAATAAACATTATAAGCTAATATAATATTTAATAACACAAAGTTAATGTAAGAATAAAGATCAAAATGTTTTAAAATTAACTTGATTTTAAATGTACAATTTGAGTTTGAGATAATCTGATATTTTTCATCTAAATTCTGACTTAAATTTTTTTTTTTTTAACTGTTACTTTCTTTTATCAAGTTTAAGTAAACAACATTGAGAACTTGCCTGGTTGAACTGCTTACTGAGCTCAAACGATCCACGTCCAGTGGCAGTCCCAAGGTGCACTGCAGAGTTGGTAGGCACTCGGTAGTGGTTGCAGTAACTACTACAAAGTCTGGCCACCACGGCAGCAAAACAGTCACGGAATCCAAACTCAAGCTCAAGGATCCCTTCCAGTGTTTCTAATGTGTCATAGTTGTACACAGCATTGGTGCTCTGCACACGCTGCAGACTTACATTATTGTCCAGGTAAATCTTATTGGCTGATGATGGAAGAGAAATTTGATTAGTGTAGAATTTGTTAATTAAAAGTTTCAAATAGCCACTCCCTATGAAGGGCCACATGGTTCTAGCCTATTAAATGAAAAGGCTAAAAATAATAAACATACATAAAAGCATTTGGCCCCTAAAAGATATGACAACATTCTCAGAAATTGTACTTAGAGTATATTTAAAAAATGTGAATTTCTGTTGGAACAATTTAATTTAGATTAATCATTAGATGTATAAACTTTAAAAAATGTATCCTTTTTAGCTAAAACATAAAAATTTAATTCTTAGCTAAAACATACAAGTTTCTTTCTTAGCTAAAACATACAAGTTTCTTTCTTTGCTAAAAAAATACAAGTTTCTTTCTTAGCTAAAACATACAAGTTTCTTTCTTAGTGGTACATAGCTAAACCATACATGTTTCATTCTTAGTAGTACATATCTGAACCTTACAAGTTTCATTACCAAACAAAACTCATGATAGAATGAAAACGTATTTGTCAATGGGCACAGATGTGGCAGTGTATGCCCCGTTAGCCCGTTATTTTGAGACAACCGTTATTAGTACAACCATGTTTGGCGCCCAACGCGAGGTCGCGCGGTGTGACCTCGCCTAGCACTGGATCGGAATGTTGAACTCAGGTATCCCTTTCACCCCACCCGGCGGTCTCTATACGGCCGGCTTCTCCTGCCCATAGGGGGGAAATAATAGAATACCACGATGTGCGCTTTAGTTAGAAAATCAATAATTTATTTCTCGGGAACCCTAGCGTATTAAGTTATAAATTATATCTAGTTAGAAAGGGGATTTTATTCACTATACCTTAGCATATTTACAAGTTTCCATCGTTGGAGAATATTTTAACATTTAGTCATTAAAGGAGTTTTCGCCTTCATTTATAGTGGTCCCCACCCCTTCTAGTTAAAATATCTCAAGAACTATTTAACTAATAAAAATATAAAATAGTATCTTAGATAGCTGAGATAAAACTGCACAGATCACATATAAGTCGTTAGGGCTTTGGTCAGAGATTTTAATTATTACTCGGGATTAGTCCCCAGAGTTAGGCATTTTATCCCAGGAAACTGGCCAGAAGGCAAAACGTAGACCGACTTGGTTTAGTCTGACGGAGAAGCTCTCTCATATGTCCGCGCAAGGCTTTAAAAGGGGGAGCACACTAAATTGGGGGGTCATTCGAGATTGGTCGGCATCCCTGCAGTGTGCCTTTGTTCAGTGCGGCCCATTGGAACGCTCTGTAAGTAGAGGCAAATACGCCATTTTATTTCTTTGTGGTTAGTAGGAACTTGTTGAGTGTTAGCATTAGAAGATTTCTGTTCAGACTTATAGCCAGGATATAGTGTAGAATAACCTACAGCGTGTAGACTTATGCTCAGGCTATTTTAAAGGTTAACATACAACCGGTAAATAAATTCTTTAATAGGATTAATAAATTAGATACCAGTGACCAGGGTTTGTGAGCGTAACAAACAACTGCATATCGTTCTGGGTACACATACTGCAGTGCGCTTATAAAATAAGCTATTGATACAACAGTATACAACCAGCGAGTGTCCGTCAAATATGTGTAATAGGATAACTTTCCTGCCGTGTGCTAAATTCTCACATAGGAAATGGTGCATGTGTGAGGATCATATTCCATATAATGATTCATTCTGCAATCTGCTGTTGTCTTAACAAGACACAGCGATGGGCAGATACAAGTATCAAGCCAACGGTGGTCATACTTTATACCATTGTATGTACTGTCCTGCTATGGGTGCTTCTTACATAGACACCATACCTGGATGGCATACTATAATAACTTCAAGATCTTTAAAGTTTATGTTAGCCCTCACATCGCACTCTGGTTCTGTGTGTAGCATTAACACTGTGCACGTGTTTCAAATTAAACACTGCACGTGGTTTCTTTTATAGTTAAAACATTCGTAGTACAAGATAATTATCTTTGCCATGTGTATAAAACAATACTACGTACGTATCATTTATCATGCTTTCTAATTAAGTATATGTTGTCGCCACCTGTAATTACGTGGTTATGTAACATGTTTATTTTAGCTATGTTAGTCAGGACATTGTTGACCTGTACTATTTGTTTATTTTCAGATATTGTCCTTTTTCTTCATAGGCTTCTTCTCCATAGTTCATAGTGTCCTTTTTCTTGTTTTCATCATAGTAGAGAATTAATTAAAAAGCTATAGTCCTCAAGACCTGGTTGTTTCATTTTGATTTTATTTAAAAACTGTAAGCTACGTCATCCACTCGGCTACACATTAAAAATATATCATAAATTGCTAAAGTTTTTAAATCAAACATCATAAATATTCAGGCCATACACAAATAGGGGAATAAGTTAAGTGGGAAATATTGTTTTAGTTACCGGTACATTGAGAGGTACAATAATCATGAGAATTATTCTTTTGGGTACCGGTACCGTACATTGAGAGCTCCGGTAGTGATGAGAAATATTTTTTTGGGTACGTGGAGAGGTACAGTAGTCATGGGAAAACTTGTTCGTGGTAGAAACATTGAGCATTTTTTTGTTTATTTTCAGATATTGTCCTTTTTCTTCATAGGCTTCTTCTCCATAGTTCATAGTGTCCTTTTTCTTGTTTTCATCATAGGAGAGCATTAATTAAAAAGCTATAGTCCTCAAGACCTGATTGTTAAATTTTGATCTTATTTATAAAACTGTACGCTAAACGTCATCCACTCGGCTACACAAAGAATAAAATAATAGTTCTATCTTTACCTTGAACACCATATCCCAAGACAAAAACCTCAGTGTCAACAACTCTTGCAGGGAGATTGACTTGGTCACTGAGGCTCTTACAAAGTCTGAACCCACAATGTTGAAAGAAGTGTCTGCGGAATGCATAGCGGGCAAATCTGGAGGCCTCATCTCCAGTCGATATCCAGGAACCTCCCTATATAGTGGCCATAAATAGAAAGGTATTATAAAGTATAGATTTAACAAAAATTACAAAGCAATTACTTGTGATCACTTTTAACTAGATTTCTTTCAATGTTTAAATTGAAAAATCTGTTAAGATAATAAGAAGCATCATTAAACTGTTCACAATACCTACCTCATTTTCTGTTTCGGGTTGATCCTGAAGTGTCAAAGTGTCCTCGTTGTATAGCCATTTTCATTGTTTCTATAGTATAGTAGTTACTATCCTAGTGTCTCATTTGTATTTACTTAGTTTACATGTTTTAATAATTGTAAAGCGCTTAGAGCTTTATGATAAGCGCTATATAAAAATGCCTAAATAAATAAATAAATACCAGGATGATGTTGTGTTTTCCATCAAAGCAAGGAGATGAGAAGTCATCGTACAGGAAATGTGTGTGGAATCCATTCAGTCCATTGAAGTGGTCTTCCACCCACTCCCAGGTGTTACCAAACACGTCATAAAAACCAGTTTCAGTTGGAGGGAACAAGTTTACAGGCTGATGAATTGAAAAGAAACAATCATTAAAATAAGTGCCTTGAAAGAAAAGTAGCTAATTTCTGATTACCAATTAATCGGCCACAAATATTATTATTTTAAATGCCTTTCAAATGCCTATTTTAGGGGTCTAATTATAAATTGAGAGCGGGCTCATTTATTATACTATGTCATAAAATGTATGTTAAATTACAACATATGATATAATTTTAACATAATTAATTGCAATTATTGAGCTTCTATTTTGTTTAAGTAAGGCTGTGAGTACAAATTTAATGGTTATGGGAGACATTTTGACTCAGAGATGCTTATTTAGAGATAGGAATTCTTTCTTTTCCTTTTAGCTCTTCTGCTAGAGGAACATCAATCTTTTGGTGTAACTAGGCGGGGCATGGGTCATGAAAGGTTGAGAAACGCTTACTTAAAGGGAGTAGGCCTTTGGGTAAAATGTAAGTGTTACAACCAGATCATAATACAGAACCCAGCGCTAAACAGAAGGCCAAATGTTTGAGCCTTACACTTGGCACCATGGGAAAAAAAAGGGGGTGGTGCTGGTAAATGGGGCACGCGCCCTGCGAGCCATCTTCAGAGGGTGCTAAAATCGCAACAGCCCTGCTCAACCTAAAGATGTAGTGTTGGACTCTGATCACAGTGCCCCAATGTCCTGTATAGGGATGGGCAACTTGATTAGTCATTGAGAGTGGAAAGCTCAAAATGGGAAATTGTGATTTCACTCATAAGTGATGAAAAATTCAACAAAACATGAAAAGTAACATATTTAATTTGTGCAATTGTTCCAATAAAACATTATTTCTTACTGTTGAGGAGCCATATTGGAAGTTGAGATTGGCATTGATGCTCTTCTGGAAAATGATGTCACATTGGGGGCCAACACTGGATGGTAACTGTCAACGGGGAGATAGCATTGTAATAGAATCAATCATGGTAACTGTCAACAAGGAGACAGCAATATAATCACCCATGGTAACTGTCAACAAGGAGACAGCATTTTAATATAATCACCCATGGTAACTGTGAACAGTGAGACAGCATTGTAATATAATCACCCATGGTAACTGTCAACAAGGAGACAGCATTTTAATATAATCACCCATGGTAACTGTCAACAGTAAGACAGCATTGTAATATAATCACCCATGGTAACTGTCAATGGTGAGACAGCAATGTAATATAAACACCCATGGTAACTGTCAACAATGAGATAGCATTGTAATTTAATCATCCAAACTACTTTATTAAAATGAAATTTACATCTAATTAAGTAAGCTATTCTCTATTTAGGGAGAAGTATACAACATAAGGGTGTAAAGAAGCTTAAATTAATGTCTTTGACTTTCTGTTGTTTCTGGTTTTCTTTGATTGAATACTCCAGAATTTCACATATGAATATGGTGAAGACATGGAGTGAATGGAAATAATATTGGTATGTCATTAGTATAATTAACATTCTTAGCACTGATACAACACCTAGTGATTTAGTCAAAGAAATATTCACTAATTTACACATGACATAATGTCTTCTAAATGAAATACTAATTTAGCTGAGACGATTATGGGCAGAATACAGACCTGTGGTCCCCTCATGACATGGTGCTCTGCCTCAACTGGGAGACGGAATCCAGGACCTTTCCATTTACAGAACGCCTTAGCCTCATGGTAGTTGACCTCTGCAGGCCAGTCCCAGGCCATGTCAATCACATCAAACATCAAACGCAGCCTAATGATATATTAAATAGCACTTTAAGATGAGATAAGCATTATAATCATCATTTAGAATTTGGAATGTTTTTTAATACTATTTGAATTGAGGTAAGATTTATAAATGCCACTGATATGAGGTAAGATTTATAAATGCCACTGATATGGGGTAAAATGTATAAATGCCACTGATGTGAGGTAAGATTTATAAATGCCACTGATATGAGGTAAAATGTATAAATGCCACTGATATAAGGTAAGATTTATAAATGCCACTGACATGAGGTAAGATTTATAAATGCCACTTGATAGGTAACATTTGTAATGCCACTTGATAAGATAAGATTTATAAATGCCGTTTGATCTGAGGTAAGATTTATGACTGCTGTAGCTATTCTCCACTGTACACTTAAGATTATGACCTGAAATCTGTGCACTTGGCCTTCTTGTTGATGGGCTCATCACCATTGGACATCAAGGTCATATGACAATGAGAGTAAGTGGCAAGGTCAGCACCACAACCTGACTTGCATCCTGTACAAACAATAAAGCTTTGGTGAAACCAACTATTGACATTGCTCAGCTACTGGAATTGCTCAGCTATTGACATTGCTCAGTTACTGACATTGCTCAGCTATTGACATTGTTCAGCTACTGACATTGCTCAGCTACTGGAATTGCTCAACTACTGACATTGCTCAGTTACTGACTTTGCTTAGGTTATTTTGTTATTTATTACAGAATCTATAGTAAGGTAGACTTACTAAATATTCATATGCTCATTTGATTTAAAGAGAGAATGGATATCTTTTTTTTTGGGATGGTCAAGAATGACATAAATGTGGGATCAGCCAGTGTTTAGGAGAAGATAAAGCACTTACTTCTATAACTAATGTTACTACTCATTAAACATTTTGAGACAAACTTGAGGATGTAAAGCTTTTCTTTTAAAAAGTTACAACAATTTCATAAATTGAGATTTGCCTCATAACAACATACCCTGATTGCAAACCCAAAACGTGGGGTGTATCACCTCCCTATATTGTACCCACTTCCATCCTTCCTCAGTCCACAAGTCCGGGCTCTGATAGCCACCATCTTCCACAAACTTCAGAAACTCTGAATTAGTGATCAAATATTGACTTGCTTGAAATGGAGGCACCCTATAAAAATAACAGAGAGAAAGTATGAAAATTTATTTTAAATTACTGCAGTACTGGTGGCATATCCTCTATGTTAATAAGATAAGCAGTGTGCTTGAGGCGGTTTGATAGGGTGCGGTCAAACGAGTTGTAAAATTTTGACTATTCTACAGAACCAGTCATTAAAAATGTCACAATAATAAAAACAATATAAAAATTCCAAAATCCATAGTAATCCGAAAAGTACTGCACTGGTTTTGCTTGATTGGGCAGCACAGTATTATTGTATTATGGGCACTGCTAATGTACTTGACTTATTTTTCTAGGCCGAGTGTTATAACATTCAGTGCCTTTGGATTGCTGATAAGAACCAGTACAATAAAAATAACCTTTCTAGCAGCAGAATGATAATTTGATATCCACGGTGATTCAATAACTAGTTAAGCAAAACTGATAAAAATAAAATATTTCTTGATAGAGACTTACTTGCAAACAACCTCGCCATATTCATTATCCCAACCATAAGAGGGAAAGTCAGAAGGTTTTCCAAGGGTAACCTCCGTAGAGGCAGCCGTCACCATCTTGTTGGCTTTAACAGTACAATCTATTCAACACAATTTATTAAAGACATAAGCTAAATTGATTACCTGTAAAAGGTAAAATTATGATTGATAAAGGAAATACCAATTGAGAATACTGTTACTTTTGAGGTTTCAGCACCAGAATACTATTACTATTGTTACTGTTACTATAGTTACTGTTACTTTAGCAGTGTGAGAAGAAAAGGAAACAAAGAAAGCACAAATGATTCTAACCAGCTTTGGTTGGGCCATACTTCCAACCATCTGGACGATTGACCAGTTCAATTGGCAGTTGACGGATCAGCACTGTTGAAGTCTCCAAATGGATACGTTCATGCTCCATACCCATCATTAGGGCCCACTGCCATAATAAAATGTATTGTTTTAGCAAATAATACACCTGGAAGCTTCAGACTGGAAACATACGTTTTTAAAGAGAGCAAACTTTGAATTATTTCAATTTCATTAAACTATAGAACAACACTTACCCAGGGACTGTCCATTGTGATTGGAAGCTCCAAAGGCGTGTCCTCAATAACTTTAAGAATGAGGTTACGCACAATTCTGCGATATTCCACAACATCTGAGATGGCTGGCCATTGGTAGCTGCCTCCCATGCGATAATTTTCCTACAAATAAATTATGGAGTAGGCATTGGAAAAAATAATACTTAATTACAAGGCACTATACGGAAAAAAAAAATTCAAGTCAAAATCACTTGAAGAATGAAGAAAGAGATAATTGTATTATTGAAATGCCAGTTCAGTAAGAATTGATTTGATATGCCACAAGTTTAACTCACTGTATCATCCCAGCTCATTTCATCAACTCCAGTTTCAAACATTGTCTCAAAGTCCAAATTGACCCGTTCCTGAAAGTAAAGAAAAAATTGTGGTAAAAAAACTGAGGCCACATTTTGACTGACAGAACTTTCAAATATATTTCAGAGTCCTCAGTAATCACCCCAGATGGATGGCCGACCTTCCTCACCTATCTTCACCCCAGGTGTATGGCACACCTTCCTCACCAGCTTCACCCCAGGTGGATGGCACAACTTCCCCACCTACCTTCACCCCAGGTGGATGGCACACTGTCCCCAGCTGGATGGAACACCATCCCAAGTTAGCTTCAGCCAGGTGGATGACACACTTTCCCCACCTTTATGCCAATTTTAAATTAATACCAATTTTGAGTTGGTAATTAAAGTAAAGACTAAGAAATATTTTAATTTCTAATAAATGATTTGTTATTAACTTCATACTCAATATTCTTATCTGACAAAAGTCTAATCTTATCAGTCAGTGTCCTGAGGAACACTGATGCAAGTTGAAGGCCAGGATTAAAATGAAATGCTTATTGTCTTAGTGATTCTTGAAAAATGACATGTCCTAGTTAATGGATTTACCTTAATGAGGCCAGCCAACATGAGCTTGTTGACATAGACAGCAGCAGTGTGTGCGTAGTAAAACACCAATGGCAACCTCAGCCGATCAGGGCATTTGTACATCACAGACTCATCTTTCATTTTTTTAAATATGAAAAAGTTTTTGTTTAATTTAAATGCATGGAAATGTCATAAGAAAATGGGGAACTTAATTATTTTTACAAATTTTTACAATCACTCGTTATGTTGTTTGAGAGATAAGTTTGAGATCAGGGGTAATTAAAAAAAAGGGTGAACAGTTAAAAATTAGGATTAACCTAGAAAACTTACCCTTTAGACCCAGGAAGATGCTTTCATTTAAGTCATAACTGTTGTTAAAGTATGCTATAATCTCTCTGGTGAGGAAAAAAGCAAACAAATTTTAAAAATGAATTCCTCTAACGCAGTGCTTCGTAAAGTCAGATCTTTTCCTCCACAATGGGCTATTTGAAGGATAAGGAGACCTTTTAGACTCTGTGGAAATTTATTTTTTAATTTGTTTTTTTTTTAAAGTGTGTGGGGGGGTGTTTAGGGGGGTGAAATGACAGAATAGAGGGGAATTAAACCTTTTTTAGGTGGGGAGGGGGGGGGCAAACTTTATTGTGATACACTGCTACCCACCCCACACCCCATGAAAAAAAAAACCCACCAAAATCCAAAAACAAATTAGGCTGAAGATAGTTGAACATGAAGAAGGATGAACATGACAGGTGTAAATGCTGAGTATGAACATTTACTTAATAATAATTGTCCTAACTTTAAATTATTTCTCATGTGTTCAAAAAAAGAATTAAGGAATGCAAATATGTGCTTTTTGAACTTACAAGTGCAAAAGTGTATGGAAAAATAGCAACTGTTTTATGGATAATACTGAATGTTTAACAAATGAGATGCTATGATGTACTATGACTTACTCTTTGGTGCAAGAAGCCAAGTTGATGGGGGTCAAGGATGAGAAAACCTTGTTTCCAGTCAGAATATCCATGATCACTTAGGCTTAGGGAGAAGCAAAAACGGCTGACCACTAAGCAGTTCAGGGAGCAATATGACAACTGGTGCAGCTTAAACAGTTAAGAGAAAGAAACAAATTATTAAACATTCTTGCAAATAAACTTCTTTTTTTAAAGTAAATATTTCTGGCAGTTTTGTTAAAGATAACAAAAAAAGGAATGTTCAAAAAGGGGTTAACCTTTTTTTTAAACAAGATGTGTCCAAAATAAGATGGCATTAATCTTAATCATTTAAACAACTAATGGTCTACAACAATGAACTAGTGGTCTACAACAATGAGCTGCTGAACTACAACAATGAACTACTGATCTACAACAATGAACTAGTGGTCTAGCATCCTTTCATGTTGGCAATGCAGCCCGCACTCTCATGGATAGTTTAGAAAATGAAGCCTTTTATATAATGTCGGATGATCTCTCAGAATCTCTTGCTGATTTTTTAGTCATAATGTTTAACCTAATAATACACCTCATTGTCCCATCACTAGATTCATGCTTCGAGCAACACAAAACATTGTATAAAACTGTTGCAGCAAAGGTTTTTGAAGTTGAAACATAGGAAGGTATTATTATTGATTCGTCACCACAATCAGCAAAGATCAAGCAATAATGGAATCATTTTAATTTGCTTAGCACATTGCTCCATTAAAGCTAGGGTGGTGAGAATAGGTATTCCAGTTTTCAAAAAGTGTCAAATTTGAAGCACTTGTCTATTGTGTGCATTTAAGAATATGAAATTTACTGCCTGAGGAGAACTTATAGTCCTAAAATGTATTTACTAAAGCACTAGACATGAAGACCTACAATGTATTTACTTAAGTAATAGCCACGAAGACCTACAATGTAAATACAAAAGCAACAGACAATTATTTCACCAAAAAGTGTAATTATGGGTCTAAACTTTTTTTTTTTTTTTGGATTTACTTGTGCATTTTTAAAATTGTATTTATTTCTTATAAAAATAAGATGATACCCTTATAGTTAAAGTTGTGGGTGGGCCCCTTTGACTCCTGCTTGAAATACAATATTTTTAGACCAAGCCTGCCCACTGCAGAAAAGTATTTGCCATTCCTACTTTTACAAAAGTGCAAGGGTCACATAGAGTCAGTGGTCTGAATGCTAATATAGGACTATCACGTATAACAATTATACAACAGGCTAAATCAAACAAAGTATAATCAATCAGGTCCAGAGAAGAAAATGTACAGGAGAATTCAAGGATCAAATTTCATTAGCACCAAAAAACATAATGAATGAACATAAAAATCAAGGTTTAACTTAGTTTAATTTAATTAAAGATGGTACATTTATAAAATGTACATTTTCATTGCTTTCACACTCTTAGGCTTAGGAGAGTTTTGATTTTTAAATCTTGGTGTTTTTTGCATTTTACTTCTAGAGTTTCTATTTCATAAATGCTTACTAGAAGAATACTAGGCATTTAAATTTATTCTTTCATCAGAAATTTTAAAATAACCAAAGTAGCCAATGAAAAACTAAAAGAAAAATAAGTTAAACAGTTACAATGTTTTTAGTTTTTTTTTCTTTTAAAAAAAATCTCTCCAACTCAAATTATTTTTATTTTAAAAAATTGATGGATATATATGATATATATGATATATTATATTAATTATATATTTTGTATACAAATGACCTTTATTAGCTGTTAATTACATCATTTACTAACACTTGTTCTTTTGGTCAGTTTGGTTTCATCATTTAAATGTATTACTTTTAACAAATTGATTTGATCTGTCCAAGAGAAACGGAATGCTGCACTACTGAAACTGAATGAAGTGTCTCAATAAGTGATTGATTCACGATGATTGAAAAAATAACTCAGAATTGAATAACAACCGATTGTTACTGGTTGTCAATCATATTGTCAATATGTCAAGTTATCAATTTACTGAGACAATTGAGTCAATTGTCATGTCATGGCATAATTTATTATTAAGTTTTATATCAATTATAATACTATTACTATTAATACATCGAATTTTCTTTTACACATTAAGCTTTACATATTATAAGATCACAAAACTCACAGTAATTAAGTGCGGCTGTGAAAAATTAAGATAAGCAAAGATAACTTCAAGTTCCAATACGCTCTCCTCAACACCTTTATACAGATTAATCAACCGGCGATAGCTCAGCTGTTTATAAACAAAAATCAATGTCACATGACCTGATTCCAATTTTGGAGGCCATTTTCCACTATCTTCCCCTCCCGCCATCACAGTTAACCTCAACGACCATTGGTCACACCCCTGACCCACCCTTTCTATTGCTTATGAATAGGTCAAGGCCAGTGACGGGGATTTGGGAATAAATCAGCGCGTCTCAAATATGATAATCCTAAAATCATTGATAGCTTTCACGATGTTCAACAAATTTAGCCTTATCCATATTCTTTAAAAATATAAAGGTCAACAATTTATAATGTTAATAACGAAGCAGTATATGATGCAATGTAGCGTACATTGATTTAGATAGCTCTGTATTACTGGAGTTGCAGTTTATAGTTTGAGATACCCCGTGGCTGTGCTCAACAGACCGCAAACCTGGGCTTACATAAATGATTTTATATAAATGGTTTCATAACACGCGAAGGCGCATTCAAAAGAGAGGAAGAATTTGAAGATATTTATTTCCTTTCCACAAAACTGTTATTGAATTCTTAAATCATATAGAATATTTTGAATGCTACTATTAACTATTAGTACTTAAGTGACTTATGTACACTACAGTTACAGTTATTTTAATACAGTAGGCCTATACAGTGCCCTCAGAGGCGTAGCGTGGTGGGGGCAGGGGGGACAGATGTCCCCGGGCGCCAGCTAGTTAGGGGCGCCAAAATGTGCTTTGATATTATTTTATTGATGAAAATAATGGGTTTGAGAGTTGAAAAAAAAAAGAAAAAGGGGCGCTTTAAAATGGATCTTGTCCCCGGGCGCGAATCTTGTCCCCGGGCGCCAAACACCCTCGCTACGCGACTGAGTGCCCTCATTACTCATAACTGACATTAATGTGCTCTGACTGTACGTGGTGGGTGCTGGTGGGACAAGGGCTGAGTTATTTATCAAGGAAGTTAGGTAGGCCTGACAAATAGCAGCATATGTATGTCATCATTAACCTTTGATTATTACAAGCCATTGCTATTGGAGTGACGCTGGTAATATGGTGAAGCTTTGAACTTCTCGATGTTAAAATGTATTTGAGGAATGAGAAAACAATGTATAATCTTCCTTTCACGGACAGAAAATCCGTGTCGTAGGCTGATATATATATATATATTTACTGTAATTTGTCGCGATGCATTGTGGTGTCTCTAACTGCCCCGAGTGAATCCTTCTGAAACGAAATACTTTCATTGCTGTTTATTGCACTAGAATATACGAGGAATAGAGGAACTGAGCTAGCGTGAAATGGGAGTTGTAATATTCACATTTGTAGTTCAAAAAACTCCCCCCCCCCCCTTTTAAGCCCTAGAACAGTTGGCAGCTGTTTTTCAATAATAAATTCTCTCAATTCTCTCACGAACATATTTAGGATTAATTATTAATTTCTTACATTAAAATAAAATATTCTAAAATAAGTTTCAAAAAATTCTAAGTAAACAAGTTAATACTATTGAGAGAAGTGGGTTACTTTTAAGTTTTGAGGTGGGAGTTTTTTCCAGAAGGAGAAGACCGTTATACTGGTCGTCCTTGAACTTCATGTCCCTGGTACCGGCGCGGGTCACGTCAACTTTTCTCGGTAGTGAGAGACCGCTGGACCACCCCCGCCCCCATAATGCAATAAAATATGTATTTTAAAAAATCGAATTTTACCAACTGCCTCTAATAAGATTGGATCGAGCGAACCTTTCTTGGCGACGCCACTGCTTGGTATGTCCACAAATAAGGACACTTTGAAATATAAATATCATGGTGATCCCGGCTAGTGTCAATGGTTTTCACGTTTTCCACAGAAGATTTCCCTACAAAATATTAGCATCCGGATTGGACGTTAGGTAAGTATTGCAGAGTCATGGTTGACTAAAATATGCATAGGTTAAATGTCAGAAGCTATTAAGAGCGTTGCAATGACGTAGCAGCCAATAAGAAGCAGGACACAACAATATGAAGCTGCAGTATTTGCATGCACTTAAGACAATTAATGCTTATGTACTCGGGGCATAATCTCAGCACGGGGATAAAAATAGGGTTTTATTAAAATTTCAGCATTATTTGGGGAAATAGTGACTAACAAGAGGATAGGTCATAAGCTCTTCATTTGTCTTTATCGTGTTGTTGTTGTTGTTTTTCCCTCGGCATAATAATAAATATTGTAAGGGAACCTTGCTTACTCTCTGATAAACTTCATCTAGATCTGGTACTCAATAAGGAAACAACTCCGGCGATAACATTTGATGATTAAACTCGTGTTCTTTATTGGGCTGTCACCTTGCTTACTCTTTCTCTCATCTCACAACTCTGACTTCTCCCTGCTATCTAGTTCTCAGTCCGACCGCCTTCTCCCTCGTCCCGTCCAGAGATCCCTATTTATACCTCCCTGTCCCATAGTTCCTCTCCCAGGTCTGGACTGGCGCATTATACCCCGCCCCTTTTTCCCAATCGGCGCCAGGTTACAAACAGACCAGTCGTCCCAGGGAAATGCCCTGGTCAGATGGATGGCCGGTACCGCCCCCAGCGCTTGATCCTTCGGTCGTGATCCCAGGTCAGATGGCGCCGGCTGTACCTGGTCAGACGGCCGTAATCCCTGGTCAGATGCCCCCCGGCGCCGTCGTGGTCCGAACTCTCCACAATATATAGAAACGATAACAGTAATAAATGCACGGGTGCTCTCTTAGTTGGCCTACTTGCTAGAGTGTCCTTAACCTTAGTAAATAAGTTAGCTTCTTAACTGAGTTCTAGAAGTCGATGTTGTGCACAGAGGCGAAGCGAGGGGAGGGCAGGGGGGCAGATGTCCCCGGGCGCTAGCTAGTTAGGGGCGCCAAACTTTGATATTATTTTATTGATGAAAATTATGGTTTTGAGAGTTGAAAAAAATAAAAAGGGGCGCTATAAAATAGATCTTGTCCCCGGGCGCCAAACACCCTCGCTACGCCTCTGGTTGTGCACCAACAAGGAGATCAATACCTTGACTTTGCTCTGAAGTTTTTGGTCACAGTGACAGCTGACCTCATTTATTTTGCATCTGTTTAAATTTATGTCAGTGGATATACACATTAATAATTAATTAATCGATTTCATTACATTTAAATTTACGGCAAAATATGTCACAAATGACGAGTGATTTATGATGAAATATGTATGTGTAATACAGTACGGTTATTAGCAAGGACTACGTGATGAAATTATTGTCTGGAAATATTGATAAAAGACTTTCCTTCTACTCACATTTTTTAGTTTTTGGTCACAAGTGACTCTATCGCTCAGTTAATCGTTTCGCCGCATCTGCGTTGTGCAGGTATCGCGTCTGCTTCGTTCAATGAAGTCTATGCAGAAAATATTTTCAAATATTATTTGAGTTTCGTCTACATTCAGTCCGAATCCTGTGGCTACATAGAGTGCTCTTCTACACTTCTGCACAGTCTTTCTCTGGCTACGTATAGTGCTCTTCTACACTTCTGCACAGTCTTTCTCTGGCCACATAGAGTGCTCTTCTACACTTCTGCACAGTCTTTCTCTGGCTACATATAGTGCTCTTCTACACTTCTGCACAGTCTTTCTCTGGCTACATATAGTGCTCTTCTACACTTCTGCACAGTCTTTCTATGGCCACATAGAGTGCTCATCTACACTTCTGCACAGTCTTTCTCTGGCTACATAGAGTGCTCATCTACACTTCTGCACAGTCTTTCTATGCGCAATGTATTATAAGGAATTAAAAATGGTTTTTCAAATTATTATTTTTTTTGCGCATTTAAACTCGTCTTTAGTAGAAAGTATTTTTTAACAAGTTTTTAAATATATATTTTATTCTTATTTTGCTCCTGAATATTGAACAAACCTTGCAAAAAGTCGCATGCGCAATGCGCACTCGTGATGACTCTTAACGTGCTGACAGCTTGGCTACTGCAAGTCCGTTCAAAGTAGGCTACTATAGTCCCAGGCTATTTTATCACCTCAAAGCACATGAAATCTTTTATCAACTTCTTATATAGTTAATTACATAATTAAGTTGGAGATATGGATGGTACCGGGTGTTTTGAAAAACTGATTTAAATTGATTAGTTTAAATGTAAACTGCAATCAGTGGTGTAGGAAAGGGACCATCCATAAATGACGTCACGCGTCTTTAAAACAAAAAAGAGGGGGGGGGGGCAGATTTTTGTGACTATGTGTGACGCTGGGTGGGGGGGGGGGCTTAAGCAGTATGACGTCACATGAAAAGCGGAATATTGTAATGAAGAATTGCACTTAATAACCCTAAATAATAAACATTTTTTTTACATTTTTCTTTTATACAACAAAAACAATTATTTTATTTTTAAACTACGATCACTGAGAGAATCAGTACAGATATGTGAGGTCCGAGAAATGGCATCTGGTCAAGTTAGAGGCAGGGTTTCTTTCAAGCATATCTCCTGTGGGGGGGGGGGG